CTACTCCTTGTCATGTACAACCGGGGAATCGAAACCACGCCAGTTGACTCAATAACAGACCTTATGATACAGCGCGCACGTGCTAACCATTCCGCCATCCAACCCCCCAGAGGCAGTGGACTGGTTAATTGAGAATATTTTGGTCTCGAACCACCAGTGATATAGTCTGTTATGAATAATCAAACTAAATAGACATCAAAACAATCCTCAGTCAATCTTGATTCTTGATCTCTGACATTAATTTAGTAATTTCGAACAAATTAATGTTTCAAGCGGTCATATATGGAAATGTAATATGAACGTATAGAAAGGAACTATATTAACATATTATCAACTGCTTTTTTTTTTTTTTTTCAGAAATAACAACGGAATCGGTTGAAGGAAATATTTCTGGGCTGAAAAATCTGAATTGTGTAATACTAATAGTGCTACTGTGATCAAAGAACAAGTGGTTTGATAAGTGTAGGCGCACCACCATAATGGCGTTAATGGATTCATTCTTTCAACTTAAGACTTACTTCGTAATTGTCAGTTTCATAACTGTGTTTGTAATATTGAATCTTCTGGGATCTATGAGATATATCTATGCATACAAAGAAATTATGAAAAAAATAGAGATGCCTACCTCGAGTAGTATGTACATATATTTGATGAGTAATTCACCCATAATTAGTGATAAAAAGGTTATGCTCAACTACAATATAACATCAAAGACCGCGATGGCAGTGGCACCCACACCAACACCCAGGCCTAATAACTGCACGGGTTGTTTTCAACACAATTTTAAATATATGATATCAAACGAAGCCGTGTGTAACGTTAAGGGAAATAACTCAGTGGAGCTGTTTGGGTTTATTTTTACCATTCATTCAAATTCTGAACAGCGAAATGCGATTCGTAAAACATGGATGTCATTTGCAGGTAACAATACCTCAAACGTTCGTTATCTATTTATGTTGGGTAAATCCTCAAACGATGAATTGAATAAGAAAGTTGCGGAGGAGGCGACCATTTTTAATGACATATTAATGGAGGATTTTCACGATTCCTATCAGAATTTAACTTACAAGACAATGATGGGATTTAAATACGTCACCAAATTCTGTAATCACACAAAATATGTTTTAAAAATTGACGATGATATTTGGCTCAACATGCCTTCCCTTCTGAAACTGTTACAAAAGGAAGGCAACAAACTTACCGCAGCAGTTGGTGGTGCGTGCCACGCATCCGCTGGTCCAATTCGAAGTAAATCATCAAAATGGTACGCCTCTTTTACGAGTTATCCGTCCAATTCCTATCCAGGTTTTTGTTCCGGGACCGGATATGTTTTAAGCGCCAATGTTGCCCAAAAAGTCTACGAAGTATCGAAAAACGTACCTTTCTTTCATCTGGAAGATGTGTATGTGGCTCTGTGTATTAAAAAGTTGAACTATAAATTGATACGGTTTTCAGGATTTCTGAAAGGTTGGTCGAAGAACAATTTATGTGCTATGAAATCAGATGACACCAGAACTTGTCATCAAGTCCCTCCAAATATTTTAACATCTGCTTGGGCAGCGGTGTGTTAATAATATATTTTAAAAAAAATCATTTTTTAAAAGGAATTATATTAAAACCTATATCTATTATGCAACTTCGCACTGACAACTTTTGTAAGAAATAAATGCTCACAGGAATTGTTCTTATCGTACTAATTTGAATTTAAAATATGGATTCATCAATAAATTCGAGTAATCCATTCTTGAATACACCATCCTAACAATAAATGAAGGTATGAAATCCGATTTAGCGTCCTACTTTTCTGGGCCAATCAAGACGGGCATACAGTGTGCTATGAGGGACATTTTGCCCGGACAACGGCGGAACGACCTACGCTTATCTCGAATTCCAACTGCCAGGGGTTCTTTTACGTACACCAATGTGTACAAGTGGGCCTCGGTTTTTCGTCTAAGCTGAAGGACTGGACACTGTCATAGTTAAATACCCTCTGCCCTGATTCGTTGATCTCAGGAACTGTTCCCGAGATCAACGAATCATATGCGTGTGGTAGGTATACTCCAGTATCCCGGTTGAGTTCTGGCTGGTTTCTTCTGATGTTAACTAGTTTTAAAACAGTGTTATTTTTAATCAAGTCCATAAGTTTATTGATATGTCAAACAGATTTTAATCTCGATCAAATGGTATTTTATTTTCAATTATATGTATAACTGGCTGGTTTCTCTAATGTTGTTTATTAACAAAATATGTATGTAATGCTTGTCTATATTTATATATTTAACTATAATCTATATAATGTGTATGTGCTTGCCATTTTAACTTTGTATATACACCCCTTTGCATTAATATTATGTATATATATCATTTAGGGAGAGGGGTTTTACATTGGCCTGTCCCATTCAGATATCCTGAATAAAATATTGTTTTGTTTTTGTTTTTTTATTAAAATAAATAAATAAAAGAATTAGAAGCAAACCTTTGATAAATAAATAAGTTTGAATATGTTTTTAGTCCAAATATATCACCAAATTACATAGCGCGTAGTTCATGATATTATTTACAAACAATTACTATAGGACACAAGTCTTCATTTGCATCTGGGACAGGACACGCATTTCGGATGTTTTGCTAATTATCTCTTAAACAAATTTGCTCCTGTGGATAAGGATATTTTTATTTTCACCTTCTTAGGAACTTAGATATTTAATTTTCTTTGCACAACTTAGATTTGTAATTCTTATAGCCGTTCAATATTTTCAGAATTACTAATTATCTCGAACCAGTCTTTGGTATTGACATCTGACAGTCTTAAAAATTCGACAAATAATGTAAACATAACTTATTTTAGTTTCCCAAGTGTTCCATCCTAACTCAGCAAGTTTACATAATATTAAATATATATTTTTTGGTGATCAGTGTTGGCTGAAAAGTTCTAAGTCTGTCTGTACAAAGTTAATGGTTTCCATGTATTTTTCTACATAGTCCCCTTCGAAGTGTACATGTGTTTGCCAATGATGCTGCAAGGCCTGGATGCCGGCCTGGGAGAAATTTTCTTTACCCACCCTAAAAAAGTCGTTCACAGCTGACATGACGTCATCATTACTAGGACAATGACTGAATTTTGGATTCTGGCTACAAATCTGGCCCCCAAAAATTTATCAGGAACTGCTTCAAAACGGCGCAGATTGTCATGAAAGGTCAGGAATCTGACACGTTTCTGATCCGCAGTCGAGAAAAAATGAAATGAAATTTGGTTTAACGTCATACTGTTCTGCTCCGACTGGGTTAATGAAGACGGGCGTCCGCCATACAGTGTGCTATGAAAAAAATTATGCCCGGACAGAAGGCGCTACAGTCTACTCTTATATCGAATTCCAACTGTTAAGGGATCTTTTCGTCCTATCCGAACAACTATACGTTGTCGCTAGCCAGGCCAGAAAATCAGGGATCGAACACTCGACGTCCAGATAAGCGAGCTAACGTCTTACTCATTGAGCCACGTGGCTCTCCACAGTCAAGACCCTTAGCACCCTTCTTGCAGAAACTTTTGTCATTCCTAACTCGGCTATAATCAGGCCCGTAACTAGGGGGGGGGGGGCGCAGGGGTGGGTGGGGTGAAAAAATTGTCGAACTTAAAAAAAAATAGATATACATTGTCCGTCAATTTTACAGCACCGTTGAGAGACCCCCCCCCCCCTTTAGTTGCTTTGAGCTAGTTAAGACCCTGGGTATAATGTGCTCAACTCTCTTATGGGAGATGCCCACAACACGGGCAATATGTCGAGTGGTCAATCGTCGACCAGCCATCATCTGTCATGCACCAGGGTAATGCTTTCTTGAATGATTACTGTTGATGGCCTTCAAGGACGAGGGTCCTTAAATTCCACAGCCCACTTCTTTACTGTAACATTATGTAAACATATTTGGTCCAATTTGGAGCTCTGTTTAAAGTGTACTGATATTGCTGGAACAGAAATTCTATTACAGCAGTGTTAAGTGGGATTAGCTCTAATCAAACGAAACACTGCGATGAGTATGCCGAGACCTTGACTTTGAACCTGACTTCAAATTTCCCATCGAGCTTGGGGCCTTTGCGCTTATGTCCCACACTGATCCGCAGTGAATATTTGCTAGGCTGCTACAATCACTGATAAGGATGACATCGATGCGGCTTAATGAGCCCGTAATATTAACTTTTTTCCTGCGACAAATTAAATTCTAAAACATTTTTTTTATGTATTGGAAAAATAAATAAAGGCGTTTGACGTATTTGTAGGTAAAAATTATTTCCTATTTAGTGTAAATGGGTATTAAAATGACTAAAATGCAGCATTCTCTCCGAAGCAGTAACGTCTTATGTAAACAATGCACGCGCCATTCAGCCAATGATTGACGCCGCGTGCTTGTGACGGCACGTGTTAAGGCTGTCATCTTTGACAGAGATATATTACTAGACTCGTAATTCTCTGTGAAACAGATTGCTTATGTCCCGGTTGAAAGCAGATAAGATACCCTTCAGAAAAGATGATTGGGTAAAATAAAATTCAGTCAAACTAAACAATTCTAACAGCACATCGTGGGTATTTTTAACTTTCAAACTCTTCGACAACTTAAAGGAAATAATAAATAGCTATTCTTTGGCACCTAGAAATAGACACAAATGTAATATAAATGGGGGGGGGGGGGACTATCCCATTTCCTATAGGATGATATTCTATAGTATTGCTACAGAGATTTGGGGGCCTGTAGAAAATAATGGCTTCAAATATTCTACAGTTTCTGTAGTGCAAATCCTATATTTTCTCCAACAGATTTATACTAAAACTTTCTATAGGAAAATAATATATTCTATAGACTTTTTATAGTGTTACTTATATTCAAATTAAGTCGTGTTTGCAATGTCAAAGACAAGTGGATGCAATCATGACCTATAATACAAAACTTCATTCAAATATGGATACAGCAAATCCTGATATTAAAGAATAAAATAAGAAAAACTCTAAAGTTTTAATTTATTTATTATGTAACTATATTAAAAATGGTAATGATATAAATTTGATATAAAACTAACTTATTAATGCTAATACTTTATCCTTTATGTCTGAAAACATCGATCATAAAGCTGTTCCCTAAAAATATAGATCAACATTTTATATGACATGTTGATAAATCACATGGATTAAGATAAATTGAGCAACATCAACAATTTTATGGAATAATTTAATTGCAATAAGAACCACTTACTCTCAACACCCGAGTCTATCCGAAGCCCTAATCTCTATGAATCTTGACATATAAAAGTTTCACTACATGATATGCAGAATTCTCCATAACCTAACACAAGGCTCTGAATGATACATTTGGGATGGTTTTATGATATTTTGGACAGGGTCAAGATGCTGTAGAAATCTTCAGTCTAAATCATTTTAATATATTTTTTAAAGATGCATTATGTAATAATAAGATAAAAACTGTGGCCATTCTTGCTATAAAATTATATAACGAAAAAAGGAATATATTGAAAATTTCATTCAAATTACTTTATTCTGAATGAAGTTATGAGTGTTGGAAGATATAGCCCAGAGCAGCAACAGTACAGGACAAACAAGACTGTTTTGATTATCCATTTTATCATTAAATCTTTAAATCTCGCAGGAGTTTTAATCCATTTAAATCTCTACCATCCGATGGGCTAGAGAGTTGATTATGGGCTTGTCATGTTAATAAATGTCTAAATAATAGTTTATATAACATTTGACAGGTGATAGAGAGAGAGAAATGGGGTTTAACGTCCACCCATAACAAACTAGGTCATTTCGGGACTAACACATGGTTCAATTTTATTTCAATAATTTGCTTGCGCATAGGGGTCCTTAGTAGTGGGAGCAAACCAGAGGAAACCCAAGAGGTTGGTCAGGCGTTCCTACTCCTTGTCACGTACAACCAGGGAATCGAAACCCCCACCAGTTGACCAGGCGATAAAGAAAGGCGATAGGCAGTTTTAGTTCTTACATAATGCATCTTTAAGCAGCTGAACAATATATTGAAAACTGATCCAGGAAAGTATTTTCCTGTCAAGTGTTATGTCATGTAAGTAACGGTTCCCTCAATAGTAACTACCCTATGTCACTAACATGTTAAAATTACAACAAGCAATAGAAAATGGAAAATATAAACTGATGAACAAATTTAAGATCAGAAAATTAATTATTTGTAAACAAGAAGTTGAGATCATTCCTTATATGCTATAGCAGTCAATGAGATATAAAATCAATGAGATATCTATAATCATTGTTACAAATATAACAACTTTAACAGAATAGCTTCCCTGATCATCTCAATAAATAAACTCAGTGATCTTCTACATTAGGTAGGGTTCAGGAAAGTTTAAATATTTTTTTTTCTGAAAAAAACCCCCTCTCCTAGCCTAACAGTAATAAATGGTAATTTAACAGCAAAATATATTTTGTAACATTCTCTATCAGTATTAACATAATTTGGAAAACATAACTATACCTAACAAATTGGCCAATTAAAATAAAAAGAACCTTAATGAGCATCAGTAAAATTCACTATTATTTGTATATTATTGCAAAAATATACATATCAAAAGTTATGGTGATTATAAAATATACTGTATTAGGCCTGGTTCTCAGACAATCCTTACCAAAAATCTGATGCTGGAGGGATTCATTCAATTATTTTTATAGATTTAGTTTCTGTAACCAGGATAAAATATTTACGTGCAGTAATTAATGAGCCTGTTTTTATTTTCTTTTTAAAAGTGAGGCAGTAGTATCTGGGAACCAGAATAGTTTTATATATGGCCTTATAACTCATCAATATATTTCAATATAAATATTTAAGGCTTGCAGGATATCACATTTAAATAATTTTTTAGATAGGCATAAAAGACGAATCTACTTTTTCAATTACTTCATTAACAACATTATTACAGAAAGCAATTTAAGTTATTAAAAGCATAATTCATAGAGAATCGGTAGATATGCCTTCAATATCACAATGTAAGCAAATGCACTGGGATCCTAGTTAAGAATCATTTCAGTGCAACAAAAAAACAATAACTTAATCTGAATACAAATATCTATAAATGCATCACACATAAAGACAGTACAATTCTGCCTGTAAAAAGTAAATTACATCTATTAGATAGAACTGGTAGAAGTCTGAACGGCCCCAACAGTGGCAGTTTAGTTCTTTAGGGACAACTATTAAAATTTAGCTTCCTATCTTTGTGTACAGAAAAACATTCAAACAAAACATTCTTTGCTGCTTTTAGCTAAAAATGTTTGAGGCTAATGAGGCTATTTATCATGATGCCAAAGCAATAAAACAGATTGGTTTGGCCCAAATATGAAACCATTGAAATTCTGCAATATGATATAAATTACTCTGTGTCTATCAAATAAGTTAAATATGTTCTATTCTATCTCTAGTCACTTAAAGATTATTAAATTATTGCATACACAACAGAGACTTCACATTATTAGTAATTATGCAACAATTTAATGTTTTGTAATGTAATGGTCAAATTTAATCAGCTGTAGAACCCAAATTGTATTGTGGATTTCTATTACAAAATAATACAAAATAAAGGATTAAATTTTACATTATTAAATTATATAAGGAAGAAAAAATATTATACACCTTTTTAATGAGATAAACCAAATACATATGTTAACGAATAACTATACTAATTGGTAATAATACAGTATCTAATCACATGTATTAAAACATACGACTTCTAGTTACTAGCCAAATATTTACTCATAATAAAGAAGTAAAAGTTAAATTAAAATATATATAAAAAAAAATAGAATGACTAGTGAATACTGTATATTGTCAGCAACATTCTACCCTGAAACTCTGTCCAAAGAATTTCTATTAAAGCTCTTCAACAAAAACAAAAAGTTAGAAATTAAAATACATATAATAAAAATTTTGATAAAATCATTTAAATCAGAGATTTTAAATGTTTTCAGTTTATTTAATTAAAACTCAAAACATTATTAGTTACATTCATTTGACTAAATCTGCATTATATTTACAATTTTTCTAAGGAATGTCTGTTTCTTGGACTAGATCTCAATACTGAAAACGAAGGATTTACAGATTGTTACTTACATTTTGATTAGAAGTTTGAACAACAAAATGTCAGAGACTTAGAAATTTTAGAAGGTTGGGCAAGTGCATCATTAAGAGTGACTGGTTAATTGAGACTGCGTAACACTAAAAAGGAAATGAAAGTGACTATATAGGCCCACAGTTAAATATCTGCGACTGACTGTTGTGAATGGCAGAAGATACACAACAATCAATCATGTATCGTTATTATTAATATTCAAAGCATACAAGAGTAGCTTACTTCACAATCTAATCAAAATCAAATTCTATTTTTGCTCCATTTTTCGGAATGGTCACTCCATTAACAACTAAGGACATGTTTAAGAAAACTGTGTTCTGGGCCTGTGACAACAGCATTATAATTCCCTTGAAAAGATTTCATGGAATTTTCTGTACCATCGTTTTAATTGATAGGTTGATTATATAAACGAATAATTTATAAAACATGAAGAAATATTGACAGAGATCATTTAGCCAGGAGTCTTAAGTTTTTTGTCTTCTGACTGCATCTACCTTCTAAGGCTGGGCTCTCGTTTGAACATTTTGTGACATACCCTACACCTGTTAGTCAATTTGCATGCTAGAAAATTCAAATATTCAACTAATTATTTAGGTGATTTAAGGTTTGTAGTCTATCTACCAGATAGGTTTATACCATAAAACAAGAAATTAACATATATAGAAGTAAGACACTGATTAGTAGATAATTACATCATTATGTTATTAATGACTAATTAATAACAACTGATTACTCTAGGGGTGTTAAGTTCATGCTTATTTTTGGAGGGTTACTTTCTACACTATATCTGACAGAACTGAAATTAATGTGACTGTTGATAGGTTGTCACTTCGAACAAAACTAACGCAAAACATTTATCACAAAGATATAACAGATTCAACCACAGCAGCATTAATGATCAGGATTATGAAGGATAAAAATGGCCAAAAACAGGCATAAATTAACGTCAATAATATAATATGTATGCCAATTAACAATGTCTAAACAACAGCAAAAAAAAAATCATGTTTTAAAAACATTAAAAAAAAAATTCTCAATTAACAACAATTTTGATAAAAACAACAAAACAATCATTGGTTTTGAAAGTGAACAACTTTTAACTTAGGTCATCAAAAGCGTGGACTATAATGCGTATTAGTGAATCTATGATGTTCTTCCATCAAGAATTTTCAATATGGCAACACAGTTCTCTTGAGCAGTCTTTAGAGCATCATCTATTTCTGCCTTGGTCTTAAATGTAAGAATTACAAAATCATTATTTAAAGGGGGTGGGATTAAAAAATTTTATCTATATTCTTAATATAACATATTTTAATACTTATTGTATATTTTTTCTCACAAGTTTCTTTACTTATATTATTTGAATGGCATTTAGTAATTGGGACACAATCAATTAAAACACTATTTATAGATAACAATTACTATGGTTTAAAGAAGCTAAATCTCTATTCTTTGGCACCTAGAAATGGACACAAATGGGTTGCAACGCATATAATAATAATTACACTCGAAAGCATTCTGACATGCAATTTGTGTGCCAATTTTAAAATTTTCATTTTGTCTTAAATATTGGATATCAGAAGTCCATCTTCTCACGGTAAGATAACAACATCAGTGTTGAGTTAAACTGACCAATAAGTTGTATTTGCAAATGTCGAAGACTGTAGTAATACACTGCGACATTTCAGCAAGATTTCACAAGTTGTTATCAAGCATATAAAACACAAATAAATAGTTGTTACTTATATTCAGATTAAATCTACAAATCTATAAATAAGTTATTTTCTTACCTTATTTTTGAACTCTTCGTCTGTTATTTCATCAAGATTTGTAGATATGTTGTAATAAGTACCCCAAACTGCTGTTTCTAAATTACGTACACCCACCTAAAATGGATTCCAAATGGTAATAAATGAAAACAGATTTTCTACCTACACTAGTGAATAATGGCTACCGGTATAAATGAGTAGAAGCTCTTGTGTTCTTCATAGAAGGCCTTTTCATCCTTATTTTTGCCTTCTATTCAAGAAAACATACATTACCACAAACTGATAGAATTGGTATTCTTAGAAAGATAACTAAACATTTAATGCTACCAACCATTTGTTAATCATATCCATATTTTGATGTTTTTCATGTAGAAGACAAACTGCTAAATGAAAGACTAGAGGCTGTCAATTAATATTTATATCATATTGATGTTCATTGTATTGACTTTTCGAAGAAGAATGAGGTAAGTTGAAGGATTATGAATGACCCTTTACTCCCTTTACTCAATTACTTGACTAGGCAAAGGTTTGGTGCCACAAAATTAAATCATAGTGCTGCAATTACTTTTCAATAATTCCTGATACTCTCGACTGATTGCCATTAAAATTAATGTAGTTCTAAATCTTAATCTTTATCTCATCATAGGAACAAAAGAGATAATCTCAATTCATATAATATTTATTATGAAGACTAAAAGGGAAATGTTCTTGATGTAATAAATATTTTAGTCTATTTACCTATGAAATAACAGTATAGCATTCCTTTTTTTAAGTATCAAAGCCACAGTGGCTAAGCGGGCAAGACGCTGGCTTGCTAGCCTAGAGGTTGCGGACTTATTCCCTGTGTTGGCTCACAAGGACAGCTGTCTTGTCGTTCGTATGGGATGAAAAACCGAAATCCTGTGTACACATTGGCGTGCATGTAAAAGATCCTTTGGTAGTTGGATATAAGAGTAGGCCTTAGTGAGGGTGTCGGGACAAAATTTCTCTCATAGCACACTGTAATCTTCATTACCCCAGTCAGATCAGAACAGTAGGACGTTAAAACTCATTTCATTTCATTTTTTAAGTATCACATAGGGGATTCTCGAATGAATGTTCCAGAATTGAATTCTCTCAATCCCCAAGATAGTGACAATTGAGTGAAAAAGGGGATTTCGGGCTACAACACATGCTTCGACTGCATAAGAAAATATCTTAACCAACCATGACAGCTGTAAAATATTCGTTGTGTTTAATTACATCACGATTCTACTCATACCACCTCCTTTGTCGGGATTAACAGAACTGTGACAGGACTGAATTCTGTGTCACACTATTGCAATTCTGTCAGTTAGGTACGTTCTGGACTGGCAATCAAGCACTAAAGGGAGACAATCTACTATTATCCAATCTGATTCCAAAATGTAAATGACGATGCGGTAGGCATATTATTCATTATAATCAATCGTCTTCTGAATGCATGGTGTATATTGAATTACAATGGTACCATTGTTACATTAGCCAAATCATATTATAGCTGTCTGAATTTCACAGTATTAATGTGTCATGATTACTGTCTGAATTTCGCAGTATTAATGTGTCATGATCACGTTTGTAAATATCAATTTTTTAACAAATTCTTTACCATAAAATATTTTTTATAAACTTGATACTAAAATTAGACTTTCAATAAAATTTGACCTTACAGTGATGTACAGTGCATACAGCCCTATAGTCTCCTTGGATGAAGTCTAACATGTATTATAAATGACAATGATTTACCTGTAAATCTGATTTACAGTTGATATTACCAATCTCTGATAATTCTTTTAAAGGTGCCCACAATGATGTTACAATTCTAGCTACACACAGTGGTACTTTAACAGCTGTACTCAGTCCCTGTTGTAGAGCTTTCTGTCGTCTGAAAGAGGATACAAACTCTTAATTCATTTTATTGTGAAAAAGAGCAAAATCTATCTATTGATTGTAAAATAACTCTTACTAGAATACATGTATTCACAATATTCCACCACTATATATAGAACTACAAATTACCAGAAATTGTTGGAAAAGGTTTACTAGTCTCACTCACATCAACATTGGATATCAATTTCCAACATATCTGATAACTCTTGCACTCAAGATTCTACATGGTGAGAAAAGACAATAATTAGATATTGTTCACATTCAATATAAATTTCAAGATGCTAGAATGGTAACTTTCATCACTAGAGTGAATACAAGCTTCAAGATCAAAAACATTAGAAATTTTGAATCTGGACTGTTCATAATAAATTGTGGAAGAAGGATGAATAGATAGTATGGAGGCAATACAGATCACATAATACTAAGTACAGGAGGACAGTACTACATGTAAACAAAACCTGCGGACAAGACAAACTGCATAGACATTGCAAGAAATAAATGACAAATATCAAATAGAGTGAATGTATCCGGGGGCCAGCAGTCATCATTTAGTCATAGTTCAAACAAAGAACTGTTCCAAGTAGTAATTTTCCCTTGTACCTTATACAACAACACAGATTGAAAGTGGACTATTTTATCTTACTGTCCAACAGTGATTCATTGTTATTCGTTACGGTATGTTTTGCAGTATGGTTTACTTACTTAGATTTGATAATAATACATGTAGTACTTACTCATTTGTTTCTTCCTCATTACTGTGAGGTAATTTCATTGCCAACTACAAAAAATTTAAACATTTAACATAAGTTAGCCAAGTTCAAACATACTACAATATTAGATATCCTCTTAGCAATTGAAACATTTTTTTATCACCGGTATTTAAAATCAAATTAAAGTTCAACCCAAGGATAAATAATTTGAAACATTTTTCAACTGTATTTTGTATCACCCTCTTGTCTGTTCTATTTTGTATCACCCAATTGTCAGCTGTATTTTGTAATACCCACTTGTCAGCTGTATTTTGTATCACCCACTTGTCAGCTGTAATTTGTATCACCCACTTGTCAGCTGTAATTTGTATCACCCACTTGTCAGCTGTATTTTGTATCACCCTTTTGTCAGCTATATTTTGTATCACCAACTTGTCTATTTTGTATCACCCAATTGTCAGCACAAATTCTTTTATGAGTGGTATTCCCCCGTGAGTCCTCGTCATTTGTACAGCAGTTATCTCACCAGGGTTGGTGAAAAAATTATTGAAGATAGCAAAAATAAATATTTGATCATGATATTGCAGAACATTTTACATATGCAAGTAACAAAGCATATCTACAAGTTTGTTACAATCTGCTTGAAACTTTTGTTTCCAGTCTCCCCTAAAACAATTCTTAAATGGTCGAAGAAAGGATGCACGGTTGGGAGGAAAGTATACCACTAGTGTTAAAAGTGGTCGAATCATATAACAATATAAACAAACAAAATAAAAAATGTTAATATCACAAGTTATAGAAACAGTATGATAAAAATAATTTCAATAACATTCTTAAATAATAAAAAATGTAACAAAAAACAAACGAAATGTCTGAACATTACATACTGACCTCCCAAAACTGAAATATGTCAAAAAAACCATATTTCTTATTCAAATATTTCTTATACCAATTCACATCATTTTACCTATGAATTATCAGGTTCGTTCCTACTTGTCGGGTCTGGCAAGGACAGCTCTCTAGTCGTTCGGATGGTAGGGAAATCTGAGGTCCCATGTACACATTGGCGTGCATGTAAAAGATCCCTTGGCAGTTGGAATTTGATATAAGAGTAGACCGTAGCGCCGCTGTCTGGGCAAAATTTTCCCCATAGCACACTGTATAGTGTATGCCCATCTTCATTAGTCCAGTTGGAGCAGAACAGTAGGATGTTAAAACCCATTTCATTTTATTTTACCTATGAATTATAATAGTAATAATTTAACCCTGTTTGTGCGCCAAATTAACCATTTTACTGAAATTGACCCTTTATAACTGGAGGAAGACTTCTTGACATTAGTGACAGACTAACACATGACACAATTATACGGAATACAAATTACTTGAAGGATTTATTTCTGGTGAAGTATCGACAAGGCTTCTCTCATCTTTATCAAGAATTTGCTTGATAAAGACAGAACACTCGTCGAAACGTCGCCTGAAATAAATCCTTATTACTTATAATTAAATCATGTGTTCTTCTCATCCAGTTACTAAATGCCACGTAAACAATAAAGTAACTTGGACCGTATTTACCATATATTCACTAAAAGCAGCAGCATCAGCATCAATAAAGGGAGTCAAATCTTTCATGCCTTTATATAGAGGTGGAATGAGTTGTCTCATCTTGGTATCAAGATCAGCAAACTTTTTATTACCATATGTCAGGAATCCAACCATAGCACCAAGAGCAGCTCCCTGCAAATTTAAAAAAGATGGGACCATAAATTAAGATCAGCAACAATGCTTACGTAACAAAGTGCTCTACTTATTCATGAGATTTTTAATAGGGCATTTACAGACCTGAGATTGAAATTCAAATACTGGTATGATCAACTTGGGGTTAGCATGGTATTTTTTCCATGTAAAATCAAAGGGACCACAGTGGATAAACGTAACTGAAATGGGATTTAATGTCCTACTGTTGTGCTCCGACTGGGCTTATGAAGATGGGCATACGCCATACAGTGTGCTATGAGTGGATAAACATACATGTACTGTTCATTGTTTATCAATGGGTTTACTAGCCTTTGCAATCAACTATATAGATAGTGTGAGTTTTTGATCTGTAATTTTGAAGAGAGGGTTCCTCGTCCACTTTTAGGACTAATATATGTGTTAATTTTATTTCAATAATTCGTTTGCAGGGGTCTTTATATAGCAGTGGAAGAAACCCCATGAGGTTGGTTAGGAAACCCTACTCTTTGTCATGTCCAAGCTTTGGGTCGAAACCATGCCACTTTACTCATTGACAGACCAAATGATCAAAAGTGCAACACATTAAACAACTCAACCAACCAAACTCCCTAACTGAAAAGAGTATGGGCAAAATAAACCTTGTGAAATGTTGGGATTTTGTTTGTCATATGGATACATTTCCTTGTCAGTCGTTAACCCTATTAGTATTTTATACATCCTTAATCATATACATACCAATGCAGCAGACATGGCTGCTACAGAACCACCACCTGGTGTTGGTGACCTTGACCCCACAGTTAATATAAAATCTTTTACTTCCATACTAACAAGTGGACCATCAGTATCACTATGTATCATATACTCTATTATTCTTTCTTTGGGACTAAACGCTCCAACAGAATTCAAACCTAGTCTGTTGATTACCTAAAAATTAAAGAAAGCCTATAAGATGGGACAGGAGGTGATGAAGAAAGTTTTCATAGTTGGACGAAACAGTGGTTAAATGATAGAATGAAGTAGACACAGATATTTAAATGTAAATTTAACACATAAAATAAAAATATAAACACTTGACACCAATATCACATAAATCTGATTAAAATGATATAGTTTCATGTGTCAGATGCTTTAAATATTTCTCAATTTTCTGATTACGATCAAACGCAATATAAACACATTAACACATCACTAAATGGTTCACTTTAATTGACAGTACAATACAATTAACATGTTGACTGGACTGTACTGTCTCTTGAATAATATTCTGGAGAGAAACCTATGTGTGTGATTGAGGGTTGTTGACGTTTTAGCAAAGAAAAAAGTGCTGTCATTTTAGAGATTTCCAAAGGATGAATTATTACAGAAAGAGTGGGTTGCACTTTGAATTATGTGGATGTTTATATCCAGTCCCCAAGTTCTAGGCAGTTACGATTTAATTTAGGTATATCAAGATGGTGTCATTTCAAGAGTTTTCGATATAGTCTGCCAGCTGCCAAAAAGTCATTACCGAATGAGTAAGTTCAGACATAGACTTCATTTCAATGGTCCTGTTATAATTTTCATATCTGTAATTTGTGCAATAAGTTAATAAATTTACTGTTATATTATTGATTCACTAGAGGTAGGACAGAAGAAGGAAATTAAAATAAGCTTTTAATATACTCACCAGTCTTAGTTTTTGGTCTTCTTCCAAAATAAAGAGATTTTCTTTCTGTATAAAATAATTAGCAGTTGCTAACATAGCCTGTAATGGCACTAATCCTACAATCTGTGACCCAACTACAGCTAAATTTAGTTCCTGAAAGTAGTAACACGACATGAGATTTAAATTTACGGTTTATGCCTGTTCCCCAATAAAATCCTTCAATAAAACCAACCACCAATAATTGTTATCAAATGTAGAATTATTAGTGAGCTAATAATGCTCATTACCACTGCTTTGGGAATACAGTTCAACTCTAGGATTATGTGTGACTAGGAAATGGGTTGCCTGAATGAGTTTTCTCCAATTTTTCTGGAGTAAAATAGAAATGTATACTGAGAGAAATGTTAACCATTTATTATTTCAGGAATGGACATTTAACTCCATATCTTTCTCTCTTAAAAGTGATGGAAAATTGTGTCACAATTAAAATTATATAGTACTGTTAATCCTAAAAAGTATTCAAAGTTTAAGTCTATAAATAAAAGTAATACCTAACACTTTGAACTTTTTGACTGTTTAAGTCATATGCTGACTGCTGTTTAAGTCATATCTAATTTCAAAATTTGGTGGGATTAAATCCTTTGAAAACATTTGTCCTTAACTCCTTAATGTAAAAAGACTTACTTCAGCATCTTTATAGCATTCTTCATAAGCTACATGTAAAGGTGTAACTTCATGATCTGTTAAATTCATAGAAACTTGAGCTAAATTAGCTTCTTCCATGTACCATCCAATAGCTTGTAATTTCTTTAATCTACCAGGCTATATGGAAGTAAAAAAAGACAAACAATACAGCACTCAAATCAGATACAAAACCCTCAAAATTAAAGTAATTGCCAAATTCAGGTGTTTATTCATATTGGCATGATTTAGTGTGTAACAGGAATTTTAAAGAGCAAAATAATCCCTGTAGACATCTAACAAAATTCCAAAACATAGGAAATTCTGTGCCCTGTCCAGTTATTACAGCCAGCCACCCTTGTCTCAATAGTTTCAGTCATCTAGCTACTGGTCATAAATACCATCTACCTGATCTTTGCTGCGCCCCTGTTCTCGAACATTTAGTGCTATTCTATGAGCTTGTTCTTTTGTTGCTAGGAGATTGATATTATATGCTATCAGGAATTTTCTAGCCCCCACTGCAGTAGCTCCCCATGATGGTACAAAATCTGTTGGTCCTCCATCTGGCTTCCAATCTGGTTGTCGTAACTAAAATATAAAATTTAATGTAATTTTAGCCTTAGCATAAAATGTATAAGCATAAGATAGTTCTTGTAAGTGAAAATTCAACAATATCAGAAAGAAATACAATCTGGTTAAAACATAGATCCTATTTCGTTTCGTTTTTATAGTTCAAAATTTTGTTTTACTTGTCTTTACTACACTTGGATCTGGAAGAGTTGTTATTTAACTCGTGTTCTGAATGGTGTCAGGGATAAGCCAATGAAATGGTCTGTTACGACGAGCTTTAGGCGTGTTTTTCACGGAACTGTGGGTAATCAACAATGCTGATTGGTTAAACAAATGTCTGACGGCATAGGGTCATAAGTCGGTCTTTTGACCCCTGACGTGACCTATCGCTATAACTTGTCAGATCTTCATGTAGTGTAGGCCATCGAAAGTATAAAAAAACGAAACGAAATATAGATCCGTATTTTAATTAGATTGAAAGAAATAAAACTTTAATCAAACAGTTAAATGCTGAGGATGATGGTTTTTTTTATTAACCCTTTGGCTCTCTTAAAACTGTCCAAAACTAGTGCTCCTGAAATATATCACCTTTCTCTAATTCCCTTTAAAAAAACGGTCTAGTCAATATATACAATTTACATGTACCAATTTTGTAAACTTGCAGTCTAACTTACCTTTTCAATAAGACCTTCATATTCTCCTGATCTTATTTGAGGTAAAGTGTGTCGGAATTCACCATTTTCTTTGGCTGCATCACCATATAAATAAGCTGAAAATATATCAAATATAACTTGTCTACGACATCACTGTAGATATAAGCAGACCTTAAGCCTGACACACACACAAATACTGGGAGGATGAGAATACAAACAAATACCCTAGAGTAATTCTAAAATAAACTTCATGTTTAAATGGGGGCTTTGTCATAATGTATTATTTTTCGAATACCAGTACTACTTACTTGGTACGCCGAGTTCATTTGCCAAGCGATCACAGAATTCTTTAGCACATTCAACACAATCTTCCATTGTTGTATCTTGTACTGGAATAAATGGACAGACATCCATTGCACCCATACGTGGATGCTCTCCTGAAAATAAAAAAAAGCAAACTGTTGACTTCTGCTGGTTGATTTCTATAGAAATGCTGTTCACAGCTAATTGTAAAATTAGTGTCAACAAATTTCAAAAAGTATGTTTTTGAAAAATCAATTATGAACTCTGTACTAAGCTTAAAGATGCATAATGTAAAATTTAGATAAAGAGCTGGTCATTCTTGATATAATAGTTCAACAATAGATAATGAAATATGAATATATTGAAAATTTTATTCAAATTACTTTATTCTGAGTGGAGTTATAAATGTTGGAAAATGTAGGGTTGATTGTTTAGTAGTGTAGCAATGGTACTGGACAAACGAGATTAAGTCTTGATTATCCATTTTACCACTAAATCTTTAAATCTTGCATGTGTTCTAATCCATTTAAATCTCTGCCATCCGATGATCTAGATAATTGTGGGTTTGTCATATTGATAAATGTCTATAATATAATAATGTAATCTGAATGTATATAAACTGATTTACATTCAATCGGTTCCGTTTTTACTGTAATTTCTAATCAGCTATGGTCGGTGAAGTACGTGAAGAGTCCAAAATGAATGTCCGTTTTTGACATCTGTTTATTTCAGTCTACATGGATAGTATTCTTCTGTGGGATATGTTTAGCCTCGTTCATCGAGTCGCTTCATAACAAATGGCGCTCAAAAGCATTCTGGTACTCGATTCGCATGCCAATTTGAAAATTTTCATTTTGTCTTAAATATTGGATATTAGAAACCCATCTTTTCACACTCTGCAAATCAATATTGGATGGAGAGAGTGAAACTAGGTCATTTCCAAACTAACAAATGGTTCAATTTTATTTCAATAATTCGCTTGCACTTGGAGGTCTATAGCATTGGGAGGAAACCAGAGGGACCAATTAAGATAACCCACAAGGTTGGACAGACGACCCTACTCCTGTCACGTTCAAGCGAGGAATAGAACTCACTCCACTTGACTCAATGACAGATCTAATGTTTCAACACGAACATGTTAACCACCCCAAAAAAAGAATAAGTGGACTTCCTAAATATTATCAACTAAGGTGGGTTTAATGGTCGACATTTTAGTTAGATTAATTGATTTTTGATTTTGTGTGACTGACAAAACGACCACTGTTGCAAATAAAAACATTATGAACAAAAGTTTCTTTACATGCCATTAACTCCCTCACCATGTAAATAAAATGTAATTAATATTGATGAATATCCTATTCAAGCCACTTAAACAATTTACAAATCGTACATTTTTATTTCAGCTATGTAGATTTCTCTCCGATTTTGCAAACAATCTAATTTGAACATACATCATGTCAAATCTAAAACAATATTTTTATCAAGTGACCAAGACCTCCAAAGCACTTCATTCCTCTTTAAAATATTTCACAAATCAATCTTTTTTTGAAAATTCCAATAGCAATAATTACCTTGATGAAGTCTCATGTCTATTAAATGATATGCTGCTCTCGCTGAGTTTAAAGCACCCTCTATAACAGCCCCAGGACTACCCACGAAGGTATAAACTGTTCTATTGGTTGATATACCTGGATCAACATCCAATAAACTACATCCTTCTGTGTTGGCTATAGCACTAGCAATCGCCTCAATAACCTGAAAATATCATAGAAATTATATTTATTATTTTTAAATACGACTTTTATATTACGTATATAAAAAGGGTCTTTTTCTATAAATCTGAAAATGTTTGAGAAAACAAATCTCATGACAATGGCAGTAAGTCAACAAAAATATGATGCACAACTATAACTTTCGAATGATAAAGTTCAGAGGTCCTGGCGAGGAACAGTGTTTAGTAATTTGGATGGGACAAACAACAGTCTATGTTCTGTGTACATATTACCATCTATGCAAATAAGAGTAGGACATAGCAACAATGACCAAGCAAAATTGCCCGCATAGCACATTGCTTGATGTATGCCCATCTTCATTAGCCTGTTTGGTTCAGAAAAGTAGCATACTAAACCTCATTTCATTTTATTTTCCACACACTGCAGATCAGGAAATTGGCTTCATTATTGTCTGCATATATGTTATTCCTTAAGTGCCAAGATTACACTTTACAGATAGTGTACCGAACCTTACATTATCTTAAGACTTGATAGATTTAACTAATTTACTAAATTTTTTAGTGAAATCTATTTCTATATGTCTTATATTGTGTAAGGATTATGAACTAATTTAGTAATTATCAAAGAATGAATCAAGAGGATTAAAGGCTAAAGGACAGAATATATCAAATCGTTAAAATTTGATATATTAATGCCATAATAAAAACTTTCTTTAAAAATTAATCACAGCATTATTTCTACAAAATTTGATTTCATACATGTACATTTATTTCATTTCACTTTCATAAAAAGCTTGATCCTTAATCAAAGTTTAACCAATTTCTTAAACAGGGACAACAATAATTTTGCCTGAATATTTTTCCCTATCATAGGCATACAGGCTTGATGAATGTTAGAGGGGCAGAACCTGAAATGCCCAAAAAAATTTCAGGTTACAGAAGGTAGCTTCAGTCATCTGGGAGAGGCCAAGGAGTCCCCCCTCCACCCAAAAAATTTGGGAAATTTGACAGCCACAAATGCGTTTTCTTGCTATTTCAGCACATGAATACAGCAACTTCAAAGTGATCTAATATACCCTAGGTGCATGACTCGAATACCAACCGATCATTCAGTCCACGGAGGCAGGGCTGTCAGGAGAAAATTTTGAAATGTAATTGCCGCAAACCCGTTTTCCAGCTATGTCAGCCCGTGAATACAGCATCGTCATTGTGGTCCAATATAGCCAACCTTAAGTGGCTGACTTGAATCCCCAACAAGCAATCAATCTTCTCGGTCTACCGGGGGCCTCGCTAACCCCGAGAAAATTTTGAAAATTTAACCGCAGCAAATACGTTTTTCTGCTATTCTGACCCATGAGTTAAGTAACTTCAAAGTTGTCCAATCATTTTGCAACCGAAATTCCAATCTATGGTGACCCGAATTCCAATTATCCAATCAGACTGTTGCATCTGCATTAACAAATGATATTTTTATCGATGCCCGGAAAATGTCACACAAAGTAGAGAGAGAGAGAGAGAGAGAGATAGAAATTGGGTTTAACGTCCACTCTCCACAAACAAGGTCATTTCTGGACTAACATACATATATGGTTCAATTCTATTTCCATAATTAGCTTGCACGTAGGGGTCTTTAGCAGATGATCTATATTTCAGGTGTTCGCACTAGCTTTATTTACTGGTTGCTAAGGATAAAACCATTCTTATTTCAAAGGTTCAAGGAAGAGTATAGAATTTAGAGCAAGAATTTCTTTACTATATTGATTTATTGATTCCAAATTCCTCACAATCAATCCATTCTGTTGTTCAAAAGTTTCAGCTAAGAGCTAATACAATCAACTTGTACATGAATTAATTCTTAATAGCTCTACCGAAATTTCCTGTACATTATACCACTAGTTTTAAGACAATACTGTTATTCATGATGCTTTCAGATTCTGGTAGTCTGAAAAACCAGACTTTCTTGCCCTGTCATTTTCTAAAAATAATTGTGCATTGCAGAAGGTGTGCAAGGCTTCCCTAAATTATACATCTGTCAAGTACAATCATTTAGCTCTTCAACATTACACCACTCAATCACCATTTAATAATATAATTTGAAAATGATGGTCATGACTTAGAAACAATAATAAACAATCTACATGTATGCTACAATTTTAAAGTAGCTAAGTCTCTAACTCAATATCATCCAAAACCTTCGACAATGAAAACATGAATAGTTTGTCAATTTTAATCAACATTGGTGTTGTGATCTTACCGGGAAAAGATGGGCTTCTGATATCCAATTTTTAAGACAAAATAAACATTTTTACGATTGGTACACGAATCGTGTACCATAATGCGTTTCAGCGCAATTTGTAACAAGCGACTTGGAAGAACGAGGTTAGACATATTCCACAAGTCATGTCAAACGGTGACCCCATATACTTATCTGGAGAGCATGCGCAATAAATACGATCGGTGTAGACTGGAATAACCAGACGCTAAGGATTGCCATTCGATTGAGACTTCTGGCATATTTCGCCGAACACAACTGCTTTGAAATTAGAGTAAAAACGGAAACGGTTGAATGTAAATCAGTTTATTTACATTCATATTACATTATTATATACGTTGCGACCTATTTGTGTCAATTTGTAGGTCCCAAATATTAGCGATTTAGCCCCTTTAAACACTGATATTCCTGGGAAAAACTCTATAGACTCAAATTCATGCAAAGATTTTTCACAGAGTTACTTCACCCTGACACTGAAACCTACCAGCAACAGAATGTTTTGTTTTATCAGATTATCATATTGATACATGTACCGGTATTAACTACATGTATTATTAGTTTGAAGACCTTTTAGACAGAATGCACTCTATCTATATTTAGAGGAAATCATAGTTTATTATCAAATCCTTATCTCTATAATTTATAAATAGGTATACATGTACAATAAGGTAAACCTTACTGAATTAGTATTTATCAGTAAACTTATCTGTTTACATGTATGATCTAGTTCTTATTTTATATGCCCCTACACAATATGGAAGAAGGTTGCTTTCTGTAAATAAATGGTGATCTGTGCACATACATTCTCTCAAAACATACTTCACACTCCAACCCCATTCAGAAATGTATTACTATTAAGGTAATTAATGTCTATCATAATAGGGATATTGAGATTTCAGACACGGATTGATGTAATTAGTTGCAGTTTATTAAATGCTATATAAATTATCAAGACCATAATCAACTCTCTAGGCTATCGGATGGCTTCAATCTTAAGTAGATTAGAACGGTTTGGCCATTTAATGATTTAATTTAACCAGCGGTTGCCAGGCAAGATATGCCAACATGTTGCAAGAAGCTAAAAAAAAAAGTGATCTTTTTGTACAATCAGGGGCCAATATCCAGGAAGTTACGGTCCGATATGCATGAATATTGAAAGGAACCAAGATCGGATAAAAACTGTGATTTTTAGAGGGTCCACAACCTTGGTATTATATACTTTTATACTATTTGCGTACAAGTAGCAGCCATTTTGTCAAGCAGTTTCAGTCCGATTTTCACAAGATTCAAACTCAACCATCATTAGTGTGTAACAGTGATATAAACGTGTTTCTTTTTAAATCGGATATTAATTGTGACCTCTAGAGGTTCCACAAGGTAAAAAATGTGATATTCCATACAATCAGGGGCAATAAACCAGCGAAGTTATGGTCTGAAATTGTGGATGGACATCTGGACAGACAGGGGCGACCACAATATATAGGTCACATGAAAATGTGGACGTATTAAACTGGGGAAGTGATGCTGCTAAGTCTCAAATAACCACCACCGTGGTGACAATAATATCTTGTCAAAACTACAAACACTGATAACTCCGCTCAGAATAAGGTAATTTGAATGAAATTTTCAATATATTCATTTTGTGTTATCTATTTTTAAACTATTATAGCAAGAACAGCCAGTTCTATATCAAAATCTTACAAAGTGCATCTTTAATTTCCTTAGGGTGTTAACAATAAATTGGACACAATATTTATGGTATTGTGCATGATATGCTTCGCCTCCACAGATAAAATTACAGGCAACAAAACACCCTATAATTAATCTAATTTTGTGCACAGATTTTAATTTAGTACCGAAAAGAAATATACAGAAACTTATTAAATATACATCTGACTACAGTCATTTGTTTTCAATCATTCAGATTAATAATCCATGTTGACAGGGGCAGACTGGGTAGCTCTGGGCCCTCGGTCCAACTGGTTTCCTTCAGGAGGTCCAATCAGGGGTCATAACCCTGTCCGATCTACGCATATATCAATTGGAATTGAGATTTCAAGTTTTGTCAAAATCGGATAAAAATTGTGACCTGTGTAAGTGTGTATATATAGAGTGTCCACAAAAAAACCCAAAATTTGAATGAACCGGTGTCACGTCATTTGGGACTCACGTCATTTGGGACTCAACATAAACGACATTTGGGACTCAGTTGACGACGTTTGGGACTTGATTGGCGTCAATTGGGACTCAACACAAACGACATTTGGGACTCAATATAAACGACAGTTGGGACTATTTATTTATGAGATATATAGTAACAGCTGTCTTAGTTGTCTTTCGTTTTATTTAGTTGATCGGCGATTGTTGAGACCGCGATTAACACTGCTAGTTCTCCTTTGTTTTGTTTTATCTGCGAGTATAAAACTTGACAATAATATATTGTTGAAAATTTGTGTTTTTCTTTTATCAAATAGTAAACGAGCTTGATTGACCGACCACTGCTAATGTTTTTTCGTGAAACGGTATAACTGCAATCAACACACGACCGCCATTCTCGATGATTGACAACTCACGTTTTTCCTCATCCACCAAAGAACCGTTAGGTTTCTTTGAACATACTGTAATAACATTGGGATTGTCAGTTAATCAACTTTAATTATCCCGCTTTGATCATTGCCATTTCTTACATGTATATTTTCCACAAAAAAACTTTGCCTTGTACGCACTAATTTATCAATTGGTATTGCCATCTAGGACAAGCATGTCAACGTGCAGCTCACGGATTATCGTTAACAATTTCTAGGGGCTTGTAAAAAAAGATTGCATGTGTAGGTCATTTTCAAATAAATTCATCAGCATATTATTCGTTTTAAATAAATATATAACTTTTATGAGAAACGATGATTATCAAAGAACCGTAAGTGCAACTAATGTTTTATCGTTTGGTTGAGCCTTTTACTAACCACGTGTTTCATGTTAATAAATATTTTCTTTTGTGTTTTGAATTGGCCTATTTCTAATAAATTATCCCGAGTCCCAAACGTCGTAAACCCGAGTCCCAAACGACGTATACCAAAGTCCCAAACGTTGTATACCCGAGTCCCAAATGTCGTGGTCATATTTTTTTGAGTCCCAAATGACGCGAGTCCCAAATGACTTGAGTCCCAAATGACATGTAATCAATGAACCTACACACTGACCGAAGCACGGGTTAGCGGACATCAGAGCCCCAAAACAACCCTTTTACCTCAAATAATTAGTAACTAAAATATTTTGGACAAATAATCGACCTGAATCGAGGTCTAGCTGCGGGTGTTTTTAAAAATGTTTTGACAAAATTGAAAATAAAACTAGAAAATTGTGAGTGGAACTGTGGAATAATTCATGATGCCATTCAATTCATAGCTTATTAAAATAAATCATCGATAATATAGACGTATATATGCAAGTCCAAGCCAATCCTGCATGTAAATTGTAACGTAAATGTGTAATGTGAATGCAATCAGTATCATTGATTGAATGAATCCGTGAATCACATTCACAACACAAAATCAACTGACTAGACTAAGCAACAAACCAGAAGCGAACAAAAATTGGAATACATTTTGCTAAACAGTCTTATTACCTCTTTGTTTCTGCCTTCAGAGAAATTTGGTACACATTCTATTATTCGTGGCATAATTAGTTCTCAGTTTAACGTTTCTCTTCAACTTTTCAGTGAGTTATTTACAAAATTTTTAGCAGGTGTCAACCACTTACCAGTTTCTCACTGCGTTATACGTCATCACGCTTTGCGTACCTACCCTAGCGATTTTTATGACGTATGAAATTACTGCGTAAAACGTAAAGCGCATCGTCCATCTTGGCTTGTTTTCATCCGAAAAAATGGACATTTACTTTTATGTATTTTGTTTGTTTCCGTTGATGTAGAAACTGATTACACATTCTGTATACGGTAAAAGGTAATTGTCCCACATTTGCAAAATGATTTTTACAAATCTATAGTCGTATCTTCTTTGGGGAGGTCGGTGCTTGTCGCCGAATCGGCGTCAATAAATTTGTTATTTGCATTGCATTTCATTTTTCGTTCCTGTTTCAACTGTCGTGATTGACGGTGTTGTCACTCTTAGACTTTCCAACAATTGATATTATGCATACCATTCGTTACTTACAATTTGTTATCTAAATACTTTAGGTGGGTGCTTTTCATTTGGTGTAAACTGCAGGGACCTGGATGTCAATTTTCTAAGCACCAAATACATATATTTAATCTTCTTCATGTCATCATCATGCAGTAGCCCACATGCTGAACATGTCATGTAGGCCTACTTTCAAATCGGAACTATCAAAACTACTTTTTCTCTTCTAATAATGCTTCCAACCTCGTGGGTTTTCTCCGGGTTCCTCTGGTTCCTCTCACTGCTAAAGACCCCTACGCGCAAGCAAATTACATGTATTGAAATAAAATTGAACCATATGTAACTGTAAGAAGACCTAGTTTGTGTCGAGTGGACATTAAACCCCATTTCTCTCTCTCTCTAATAATACTCCCAAGATTCATGAGTCTATATTTGGGGCTTAGAATAACTAATTAACCTATGGCATGGAAATCGAATCGTGCAGCAATATATATCACTATCAATCACTCAGGTTTTTTTTTTTTATGGAGTTAGTTCAATTCTCAGAATAATGTAAGGTTCACAAAAAGCATGAAATTTCAGATCCAGCTCAAACTCAAAGAACACGTGACATAAAATGAACACATGAAAATGTGGTTGTAAATTGCTGTTGCCCCCGTCCGTCCGTCGGTCCGTCCGTCCATGGACAATTTCTTGTGAACACTCTACAGACTACATTTATCAACCAATTGTTTTGAAATTGATATGTTGTTTGCATTAGTGAGATGAAGAAGCCTATTTAATTTCAATAACTTCCGTTAATTTCTTCTGGAGTTATGGCCCTTGTTTCACTTTGTTGTACCTTGTAAATGCTCTAACGACAAAAGTTATTATCCGATCTGTATGAAATTTATATGTATCATTTAAATTAGTAAAACGAACAAGCCTATTGAGTTTCAGTTATCACCTAAATTAGTGAAATGAAGACGAACAAGCCTATTGAATGTCAGCAATTTCCGTCAATTACGTCTAGAGTTATGGCCCTTGATTTACTTTGTTGAACTTTGTGAACTTTCGAACAACAAAAGTTATCATCCGATCTGTATGAAATTTATATGCATTATTTGAATTAGTAAAACGAAAAAAGCCTGTCGAATTTGAACAATTTCTGTAGATTGCTTCCATAGTTACAGCCCTTGTTTTAGTTTATAGAACCTTATGAACCTTCAAACAACGAAAATTATGTCATCTGTATGAAATTGTCTATTAAATTCCCCTAATTACCTACAAAAGAATAAATATGTGACAACCCTTGTCTACTGCTCGGACGATTTAGCTGCTGTGGGCGTATGTTTTGTTGCCTGGCAACCTATCTTTGTTTCTTAAAACATGCATAAAAATAGTTACGTTGCAGCTCTCTTGTTTTGTTTTGCAGGAATTAAGATCTTATTAACTCAAAATGTCTCAACCTGTGAAAAGGAGATATTCTTCAATATTGAGAGCTAAACAGTTGCTATCTGGAATAGCTTTCATTCGCCAGCAAAAACAGATACCAAATTTAAAAAGAATCTCAAGTTATATGCTTCGAGAACATGATGTGCATGAGCCTGAAGTTCAAAAACAGTTAAATTTAGCAGTTAAGGATGGTCTTATCATTCACTATACTGCAATAGGTAATAAGTTTAAGAAAGAAATATTTGCTTCTATAATTTATCAAACTTCTCTCACCTTACAAAAAGCTATTTATGTTAAATATTTAAACTGACATTTCCTGAGCTTTCCCAAAGCATATTTTATTTCATCCCACTCTCAGAAATACCAAGGCGTTGACAGAGAATAAGCTTACCAGTACTGTTATTTATAACATGGACAGGAAATCTTCCTTTATTCTTTTCGTTGAAAAAGCAGATTGTTTTCCCTCTAGTAGTAGTAGATTGGGTGGAGCTTAACCGTGCAATAACTAGATATGTTCAATGTTATTGCACTCTTTTGCTGGTTTACGCTAATTTTAGTAGAAATAATATCTATGGGTTTTCTGTCCAATAACAACAAGCATGTTGAGCAGGTGTCAAGGTTACATGTACATTTATATAGCAGACGACATGTAAGTACATGTAGTTCCATTCTTTAAGATATAAGAGTGTCCAGCAATATAAACGTTGCAAGTTACGGAAGCACCTTAACTAGAGGTACCTTAACTTTTCTCAATTGCATACCGATTTGAGGTAAAGACGTACATGTAAGTGGAAAATTCGGATCTTTAGTTGAAAGGAAATCAATGAATATGGCCTTGGCTTATTGTTTTAAAGTGTTATGGTTGATAATTTGAGGTGAACACTCCACACTTAATTTAGGTTACAGATTTAAGTTACAGAACAAAAATATGTACCAGTACTCCTAATTGGTACTGTCACATTTATTTCTTGATTTACCACATTCTTTTGTTACCGGCATATGTGATATTGTTTCCATCTTATTTCAGGTTCAAAGGGTTCAAAAACTGGTGTTGAACAAGAAGGCTATAAAATTCCACAAGTTGATGACTCAGAATTGGTAATATACATTTATTTTATTTGATGTGCAGAAATCTAGGAGAACATGTAAACTTACATGTATACCATGGCACATGCTTGGCGTGATACATACATGTACATTGGTGTTTTTGCTATATTTATAGAATATGGAAGTGCTGTAGATACAGTGTTTAAAATTCGGCAAGAAAAGTTGTAAGCCAACAGGACCTGCTGGGACAGGTTTAAAAGTTAAAATATGTATTCAATATTGATTGACTGTTCACATTACAATTTTAACTTTTGAAAGATTTAATGTTTATACTTCGTGTATAGAAAGAAAAAAATCATTCCTGCCCCGACTTGATATTTTTATTTTTTCTGTAATAAATAAATATTCACTTGTAATAATCTTGGTGATTATATGTAGGTCTACTTTATGGTACTGACAACGTATCTCGAAATTCCATTCTCATTGAAATCTGAAGATTAAAATGGCCCTTCACATTCTCCGAAAATTAACAGAATATATTGTGCATATAAATGAAATGAAAATGGCTTTTAAGGTCTTACAAAACACAGATTAACATGTCTTACATTTCAATGAACTTATAAAATTTGCTGTCCCATAGCAATAATCATTTGATTTGTTTCCATCACGTGTGAAATGATAGACCGTGACCTCTTTCAACATGAAAGTAAACTATCAGTGCTGTTTGGCAGACAACACATCATTTTTTATCATTATTAAAACTGACCTGATGTCACACGTTGGGATAGCCCATATTTATGGAATGATAAACTCTTTGTTATTCTTCCTATATGACATATTGCACGTGCCTGATTTCGAAGACTTGGGTTTGCAGTACGGTTGTGAAATCTTCATTAAAGAAAGACTTGATAATCAAGTCTGCTATTAAATCACGAGAGTTGGAAATAATGGCAGGAAAGGCCACTCGTTTTATCTTGCTGGAATTATATTGTTAACCGTAGTTAGGCTTTCAGGGAATTTTCAACTGTTGTTTTCCAATTTTATTTTTACAAGACAAAGGTCTTATATCACGTGAATGTTTATTCTTGGACTCATGGCAGTACAGTAGATGGACTGACCTAGTTTAGTAGCATACGTGTTTGGATATCTCCATTGAAGGAATATAATATGCCGGATTATGCATGTGTATTCAATATCTGATAAAGACAAATAGGACAGTAAGTAAGGCAGACTATCAGAACACACACTCATCTATTCCATACTTGATCAAAATGGTTAAATAATATCCTCCCGAACTCTGGGAGCGTGCTGATATTTGCAAGCACGACCTCACTCCTACAACGATAATTTCTTTTGGTGGACAATTTTATTTTCATTCCTGGTAATGAAATACTGTTAAATATCTGGATGAAATATATTTTGGATATAAATAGGCTATGTAAATATTTTCAAAGGAGAATTTGATAGAACCATGAACAAAATATCCATGACAAAAACAGTCGGCTCACAGGTTCCGACTCTCCATCTTAAAAATAAAAAGATGTCGGCCCGTCCAGTTATTTATCGGCGACGGACCGATGTAAATTTTAAACACTGTGTAGATAGTGCTGGACATTGTTGGTTCTGTTTTGAAATGCATTTCACCTTAAAACTGCCTGTTATAGTAGTTGTGGATAAACTTTGATATGAAAAATAGAACAGAGAGGGTTTTGCAAGTTAGATTTTGAATCATACTGTTGTATATTTTGATCATGACATTGAATCAGACAATAAACTAAGATATGGTCTACTTTACTAGAATAATAAAAGAGGATTTCTGGAAATAGGAACCAAATGAATGGATATTACAAAGTTGATGGACGGTAATTTCAGACCCTTTGTTGTTACAGGATGATGGACATGATTGGTATTGTTTTGAATGTCATCAAGGTGGTGAAATGTACGAATGTCAGGATTGCTGGCGAGTATTTCATGAGGCTTGTCTTCCTGAAGACTCAGATAATCAGCTTGGATCAAAGTTTTCATGCTATATTTGTCAGGTGAGTGTGGATGATTTATTTCATGATCAGAGATTCAAGCCCATTTTAGTGGGTATGGATGCATGAGTGATCAGTGTGAGATTTGTTTCTTGCATTACTGACTCAGGATGTTAAAGATGCATTATAAAGGAGTTAATTAAAATCTGCATATTACAGATTTTTTTTCTGGATTCGAATCTCATATGAATTATTATTTAGACATTTAAAAATTTAACAATGGATAATCAAGACTTTCAGACATATATTTGTGAAAATTCTTTGGGATTATTTTAACAAATTTATGCGTCTATGTGAGATTATATTGTTATTATCCAAGTCTGTCTATTCACAATTCTTGAAACACTAGTCAACAGTACAGAATGTTTTAGATTTTATTTTTGAAACTTGCTGGGATTGTTCACTTTGTCAAAATTCACTCAGTGATTTTTCAGAGATGATTGCCCTAATAACTTGTAAACGCTTTACAGTTCATAGCTTTCTAATCGTCACTGAAACCGTGTATGAGGTTTTGGCATGTCATAAGGAGGACAGCTATTGAAATTCAGATTTGTACATCAAGTTTATTCAGAATTATGGCCACTGTCACTGTATAAAACGTATAATAACATGATTTCTTTAAGTCCTTGTTTCACAAAGCTGGTGGTGGACAATACCGGTATTTGTTGACTGGCAACATTATAGTATTGATTAAAGATACATTATATGTGAGATTTAGATAAAGAATAGACAGTTCTTGCTACATGTATACTAGTTCAAAAAAAGATAACGAAAAGGGAATATATTGAATTTTCTGTCAAATTACATTATTCCGAGCACAGGGATGAATGTTAGAAGTTTTGATGTGAATAGCTTAGTCTCATTGCTACCATTGTTACGATAATAAACAAAGTCACGATTATCCATTTTTGATTTAAATTATTAAATAATAATTGTGTTTCAATCCATTAAAAATCACAACTATCCAATGATCTAGAAAATTGGTTTTGGGATTGCCATGTAAATATAATTTATATAAAATTTGAGTCCAAAATAAAGACCTGAAATAGGCAGATTTAGCTCTTACATAAAGCAACTGTAATTATCAGTTTATATCCGTGTCTGGAGTATGAGTTTTAATGAAGGACCTAGCTGCACTTTGGATTCAAGGGAAGTCCTTTTGACCACTGCTCTTACACTTTTTGAACACTTGTTATGCTCTAAAATAATTCTTACGGAACTTTTTATGCCCCACCTCCACCAAGACCCCCACCCCCTGTCAGCTTTGAGATAGATAAGCCAGCTAGAATACCTTTCCATCGTTCCTGAAAGTAATACTAAACTTATGAATGACAGTGGCGGGCTACGTTTTAATTTAATACAATAATAGATATCTTGAAGCCTGAAAACTCATGCTTGATTTTTGTGTTGATACCTTTCTCTTGATGTTCTGTCTCTTGATTTTGTTTTCGTCCCTCCACCCAAACAACCTGTGGATTCATAAAATCTAATTTCTTTGTTTATGTCTTTATATCCACCAGGATAAAGAGGTAAATAGCTTAAATCTAATTTGCATGTTGCTTTGCTAGTTCCTTGGTTTGTTGTGATTCCTATTTTAGCTTTCTAGAATCTTCTTGAACTCGGGTGTACTACATGCTTTATTTTTTAAGATGGAAATTAGAACTTTTACTAAGCACTTAATTAAAATACTTCAGGAGCCATGTTGGTTCAGTAAGTAAGACACTCACCAACTCGTTCTTGGGTTAGATTTTCAAGCACGATTTCTCCTGGTTAGTAGAGCAGGATGGAGGGCCTGCTATGGAACAGTACTTAGTTGTTCAGATGGTCTGAAAAACCAAGGTCCTTTGAGAATAAAAAAAAAGTAGGCCATATGCCAGCTTTAATCCCCATTTCATTTCGAAATACTTCATTTGACGAGTGTTATATGATGGATTTATATGGTAGGAATTCAGTACAATATAATGGACAGTAAATATGATAGTAAATTCATAAAATAAATTTTTTTCGAGAGAAACAAAATTCCCCCCACACATTTGACACATGTTACATAGAAATAAGAAGTAGTTTGTCTCTGAAAGGCATTTCTGAAGAACACTGTAAAAAGGTAACTGTATATTTCATTTGTCAGTGACTGCTCAAGATATTGAATTACATTTTATCAATAAATGTTTATACTAAAACACTGAAATTCTGTGTCACTCAATAACAAGTCTATCAGTTCTGAATTCTAAATTGACAAACACATATTAACAGTTTTGGTGAAGTAAAGATTAATAATTTCTTTTTGTCTGTTATTATTAGTACATTTGATGTAGTGAGCATGAGCCTAACATCTATCCTTTGTATTCATACTCTTTCTTTTCTTTTCCATATTCTTTCTGTTTCTTATTTGTTTCAATTCTTTGTCAACTTTAATTCTTAAGGGCTATTGCCAGATATTTCATCTTTGGTGGTTATTTTGACAAGCTTTCATTATTGTTTAAGCATATTTGTATGCCTTTATTCTTTTCAGGGGGTCATTCGTGTGTAGTGTCTTAATGGACATAATAACTAGATAGATAGCTAATACTGATATTTGAATCAAAATTAAACAGACTCCCTTATGAAGTTTGGTTAATTGTTAATGAATTCTCCATTTGTTAAATAGAAAACTTCAAAATTGCAATTAAAATTTGCCACGTATTATTATCAGATACTTTAAATTTGTTAAGCATAGGTCTTTTGATAGTCTAGAATAAAATATTTCATTTTAATTTCAACTGTTGTAGGCTGGAAGAGCTAAAAACAAACTGAAAAGGAAAATGTTGAACACCTTGCTAAGTTACACTGTTCTTAGACTTAAAGAAAAGGTAAGTAAAGTTGATCCTTTCAGTGTTAGGCATGTTTGACACAATAGCAGAGTGACAGGTCAAGTCAGAGTTTCTAGTATGTCAACTTGGGTACTTGTACTGTTATTGAAACATGAAATTATTGCTTGTCTGTTAATAAAGCATTAAATTATTGCGTGCGTATGTTAATTAAACATGAAATTATTCCATGTATGATATTAAAACATCAATTTATTGTTGTATGTTATAAATGCATGAAATTCTTGCTAATCTGACATAAATGCCAAATTGCAAAGACCCAATGTTCTATATGTTAGGATTCCCCACAAATAAATATACCTTACTAATTTCATTTGAACCAATCAAGTAACAAAATGGTTTTAAGCCAAAGTATGTTCTGGTTCCCAGATAATGTTGATTCACTTCAAAAAATAAAACATAAAAACATGCACATTGCCATTGATTACTGCCAGGGATCTTAATCGGCTGTTTTTTGTCTGCTTTAGCCGCTTGAAGTTCAATCAAGCTGATTGGTAAAACAATAAACTGGCCACTAGGGTATCATAAATCAATCTACTTTCGACTAAATTACAACGGGTCAATTATTACTTGTTAATTAAGTATTCAGTCAACTTGCTTGTCATACCTTAGTAAGAATCGGCCATGTGGTTCATAATCCGAGTAATTAGCACAAGTAACGGTAATTTTGATAATCCGGTAAAAAAAACATAAACACGTTTGCTGTTATTCATAACAGGTCCAGTAAGTTGCCTTAAGGAAATATATAGGCCACGTGGGAATCGAAGGAAGACGATACGATCTCGGAATGGATTGTGCATCTATCTTGCTCCTTTGACGGTCCGTATGAATTCCAGGTGTACCGGTAGATATTAAAATAATAATTGGATCATAATTTAATGATTTCACTGACCAGTTGAATATAATCCTCGGACAGAACACCGAATACACTGAAAAACAGTCATTTATTATTGTGAATCTCCAATGCCGAATATGATACGTGACATCGGTTAGAATTAGGTCAGTAAACCAGCGATGCTAGTTTTAGTTTCAGATGGCGTTTACCGTTATGATTTTTTTATTTTATACTCATGCTGACAGATGCTTGATTTTTAAATATTGTCATTATTATTATTAAAAGCTGTATGGCATAGCCGTTTCAATTATGGTTGTCATGTGATTACTGTACCTTGTGTCTATCATGGATGAATGAATAAAAACATTTGCAAGTTACATGATAGAAAAAAACCCTTACAAATTGTGTTATGAAGAAATACCATGGTGCCGTATCAACTTATATCCATCGAAAAATACGAATACATTAATTTATTCAGGAATATTATTGACATGAATTTCAAGCCGGTACGTGAATTATTTATATATATAGATAATTTTCCAAACGGGGAACCGGTTTGTCATTATAGGCTATTTGTGGTAATTACATACAGTAGAAATAGAATACGATATTCCTCATAAAAAATTACCAAGAATTATTTTTTTTGATGTCTGGTTATATTAAAGTCTGCTTAAAATTTTAAAACACAGTTCCTACCCGGACCTCATTTGACCCAATTCCGCCCGATTCCTTTCAAAATGGATTAAGAACCCTGATTACTGCCCATTCATATTTCCTGTGGTAATTAGTTACTTTTGGTAAATAAACTTGAATTCAGCTCAGCATACTATAAAGTTTAGATAGGGAACATGAGAATTAGTAGTGTAGGTAAGCAAATTCCTGTAATGTTGATTAATCTCCGCCCCACATTATAATTTATTTTTATGTGATCTTACTGATATATTTTACTATTGCAGACGCGAGAGTTACATCGTATAGCATTAAAAGAGCCTGATACAGAAATGATGTTTGAAAGGTTTGTTTATAAAAATATGGATTTGAATATGATGGAGGAAAAAGTATCTAATCATAAATATAAGTGCCTTGAAGAATTCCAGGCTGATGCTCAGACTGTTCTACATGCCGTCTTTGTTGTCTATGGTGGTAAGATAAAATTTCATTGACTAGTCTAAGATATGCACTATCTTTTCAGGGGCAATCATTTTAGACATTGCATCCTTGTTCCATGTGTAAAATAACCCAGAGGACACATAACAGTCCGACCGTTTGTTGTGTAATAATTAATGGAGATACAAGCAGAAAGAGACAAAACTATTTATAGCGAAAGAGGTTTCCCGCACCTAGATCAGTTGTTGAATAAATTAAGACGTCGTACACATTGGTCACATGATCCACAGTAAACAATCATGGCTGCCTACAGCATCAGTTTCATGTTGGACAACATACCCATTTTACTCAAAGATATCACATGACTCCAATTAAATCATGTGACCAGAAGGAATTCCCTCTACGGCAAGATTATCTAGTTCTACCAGCACTTAATTTCTTAATAAAATTACATGTCAAGGCTAAAAAATATAAATACTTTAAGATACATTCCGTTGATGTTGGAGTCGCTCAGTAATGTTTTGCAGAGTTACAGCACCTGTTACCAAAACCTTGTAAACACTCATCAGTCGATCACATTCTTTTAGATTAAGTTTTCAAACTTGCTGGGATTGATATTGCAGAGTGACTGCCCCTGTCAACAAAAGCTTGCAACTACGCAACTACTTTATTCCATAGCTATTATATCGAAAGTTGCAAGACAACCTGATACCGAAGCCTTGTAGGCGCTGTTATTGTTGCTATAGTCCTAAGAAGTAATGCTGTCGAAATTTAGAGCTGTTCAAAAAAATTTGACATGTTTACTTTCCCTGTCACTGAAACCGTGTTAACACTCTTTTTGAGATTTTTTTCAGTTTAAGACATGTCCAATTATTTTGTTCATTTCTATGTTACAGAAGAAAAGGGTGGTATAACAGAGTTAGCTAGAATAATGGTTAAAGATTGTAAATATGATGTATGTATTCAATTCATTAAATATAGATTAATATTGTAATACATGTGATGTCAACTACCTTAAATTTCGGGGATTGGGTGGCCGAATGCTTTACATGTGAGCTTTAGATCATATTGTCTGTCATTGAGTCAAGTAGCATGGATTTTCCATGCAAAAATGTACTTAAAATTGATTATTAAACACTCAATTAAGAAAACAAAATATAAACATGAACAGTAGGTAATCTCTCGGCTTTGTTTAAACAGAGGCCTTTCAAAAAATTTGGCGATTATTATAGTTACCGTGGACTTATTTTGACCATATACCATTTATATTGTTTTCGGAGGATATCTTTGTAAATACTGAACATAATAGAAAGATTTTTTGTTGTATAAGTTTATTCCTTTTTGAAAATCAATGTTCACAATATTATAGTTTGCAGGGGTTTAATATTAATAATCCTGAATATGATGGTCCAAGACTTTAAAAAGACTTGTTTATTTACTGAAATACAGTTATTCCTGTACAAATGAGGACTCATATTCAGTAACTTCCCATTGTAAGCGACCTGCACAAAAAAAACCCTGATCATTTTTAAGACAAGTTTGACTCTATTCTATTATCTATTGAAATGAAATGAATGAAATGAAATGGAGTTTAACGTCCTACTGTTCTGCTCCTAACCTGGGCTAATGAAGACGGGCATACGCCATAGAGTGTGCTATGAGGGAAATTTTGCCCGGGCAGCGGCACTATGGCCTACTCTTATATCGAATTCCAACTGCCAAGGGATCTTTTACGTGCACGCCAATGTGTACACGGGACCTCGGTTTTTCGTCCCATCCTAACGACTAGACAGCTTTCCTTGTCAGCCCCTCCGTCCTGCATCACTGACAAGGGAGAACCACGCCGGAAAATCTGGATGAACTTTCTCGGCCAATGCAGGGATCGAACACCCGACCTCCAGGCTAGCGAGCTAGTGTCTTACCCACTTAGCCACGTGATCCCCAAATAAGACTTACTACGTGACTAGCTTTCATCATTTCCCTTCATTATTGGCCTCTCTTGATGTATTCCAATAACTTGTAGCCAAATTATTTTATCAATTATGGTCCAGATTTTACGGAAGTAATAACTTTATCAATTGTTATACATGTTTTGTTCAAAATCAAACATAATGCCGTGGGGTTGGATGGCCGAATGGTTAGCATGTTCGCGTTGTATCATAAGGCCTGTCATTGAGTCAACTGGCATGGTTTAGAATCCCCGATTGTACGTGACAAGGAGTAGGGTTGTCTGTTCAACCTCATGGGTTTTCTCCAGGTCCTCCGGTTTCCTCCCACTGCTAAAGACCCCTACGCGCAAGCGAATTGTTGAAATAAAATTAAACCATACGTTAGTCCCTAAATGACCTAGTGCGTGTTGAGTAGATGTTAAACCCCATTTCTCTCTCTCTCACTCTCAAACTGAACATTATTTTGATTGCAAACTAATTTAAGGAATTGACTTTTAAAACTCTGTATTTTAAAAATATAGGGTTTGTTGTATACAGAATACTGTAAATAGCTGGTATACTCCCTACAAATGTTTGTGTATTATTCATTATGTTTTATTGTTGTTTTTTAGCTGGAAGAAATTCGTCATTGTCACAGATGTTATTATTTGTCAAATGCAAAACCACAACATTGGTTCTGTCAACCTTGTGTAAGTTTAATATACATACATATTTCAGAATTTTAATTGAATTTCTATTCCAGCTGTCATAATATTCTGGTTAATTGAAACTATTTGGCTTATAGTATACAAATGAAATATTAATAATTTTAAATAAAAACAAGAAATTGATACAAAAAAGTAAATTATTGTGACCTACATCCAGTAGAATTAATTTTAATCTGTAACACAAAATGAAATATGGCTAGTCTGCAAGTAGATCAGCAATATATCGTCAAATATAGCTCCCCTTTAAACAGTAAACTAATCATAGATGACTAGCTAATCAATACTTGGTATTGCTTGTTTTTGTTAGCTGAATATTGGGAAAAATATTGAAATGACCTTAGTCCGTCCTTCCTTCCACGTTTGTCTTTATATTTTGGTGCATAATTTAGGAACCACTATTGATATCTTTTCAAAGCTTTGTATGCACATCTGCCTATTATTATAGTTGTGTCTTCTAGTTCTAGTAATTAGAAAATTCTTGGTTTAATAATTTTGATGCTGCGTCGAACGAAGTTAGAGGGGGATATTGAAACAGGCTATGTCTGTCAAAGTTTCGTTTCCAGTGAATATCTCATAAACCATTTAAGATATCTTTATGAAACTGTGTACATACTTCAACCTAATATAGTAATTGTGCCTTATGCTAATTTGGAATTTCTCAAATTTAATAATATTTGTGTTTCCACAGAAACAAATTTGACTTAGTTTTTATTACGCAATTTTTATTCTGGAGCATATCTCATAAACTATTCAAGATATCTTTATAAAACTTACTACATATATTAACCTACTACAGTAGTTGTGCTTTGCTAATTAGAAAATTCTCTGATTTAATAATTTTTGTGTTTATATAAACAAATTTGACTTATATTTATATACAACTTTTATTTTGGAGAATATGTCAAAAACCATTCAAGATATCTTTATGAAACTTTGCACAAACATCAACCTTTTATAGTAGCCTAGTTGTGCCTTTTGCTAATTAGAAATTTCTCAGATTTAATCATTTTTGTTGTTGTGTTTCCATGGAAACAAACATAACCCATTCAAGATATCTTAATGAAACTTTATTCCAGAGCATATCTCACAAACCATTTAAGATATTTTTATGAAACTATGAACACATTGTAGTAGTTGTGCCTTTTACTAATTGGAAATTTATTGTGTTTCCATGGAAAGAAACTTTGTACAAGAACATAACCTAATTTATAATTATTGTATCATTTCCTCACTGAAACAAATTTGATTTAGTTATTTGTATACAATTTTTATAGTACACATATGTGCCTTTTGCTAGATAAAATTTCTTAAGATTTACAAAGATTTTGTGTTTCCATAGAAACAAATGTGACTTATTAATTTTTGGTATACCATATATTTATTCCAAAGCATAACTTGAGCAAACTTTGTACAAATATCAACCTAATTTTTGAATTTCAACCTAAACAAATTTAAAGTAGAATAAGTGGGATACATGTACCTGATTCTAATTTACTATATATCTAACTACTAGTAATGGTTGTTGATTACCTATAACTCAGAGATTATCTATCCCTGTACCTTCTAAAACATGTCCAAGGGCACAGGATGTTTGAAGTGATTAAAGCATATCTTAACTTTAAATAATATTTTCAGCATGTAGTTTTCATGTATGTATTTTACTGTAGAACATCTTGTCTTATAGGATCCTCCACATGAGCTAGTTTATGCTAAACAGAAAGGCTACAGCTATTGGCCAGCTAAAATTATCCAACACTATGGAGACAAGTGTGATGTTAGATTTTTTGGAGCATTCCATCAGCGAGCTGTTATACCCACAGAATATATTCGGCCAATTAACGCCAATCTTAAAACAATGAGTATCAAAAAAACAACAGGTAAAATTAAAATTTGTATTTTTGGATGAGAGGAACAATCAGAGGACTTAAGTAATCTGCAAATTAAAGATGCATAAACATATTTTATTTCAGTACTCTGTTAATTTTGACACAAGTCTGGTTTATTGGAAGATTATCTCTTTCTCAGTCTTTCTTGTTCTAGAAGATTTTGTTATAGTAGGCCAACAATCTACTTGCTCCATGATTAGTAGCACATTATATTAAAACACAATTTATATGGAAAACAATCACTGAGTTTATTCCACACTACGTTTCAACAAGTTTGTCTTGTCGTTCTCAAGTAAATAATGACAGTGTAATGTATAAAGTGTGTTTTGAAATTATATATTCAATTACTAAATGTCGTATAAGGATTTAGTAGCATATTATATTCAAAAGATGGCCTTTAATATACCTCGGGTGAAAAAACAAAACACTGGAACACAGTGATATAATTCAGAATTGCAGTTGATAATCTTGTAAATTACAATTCTATTATATTCATGGCAGTAATGTGTGCTATATCAAATATAATATGTATTGTAATGTCTGTTGATCACGCATAAGATATGGCTCACAAACCAGGAGGTCTGAATGTTGGCTGAGAAAGTTCCCCAGGATTTTCTAGGGTGGTTTCCCCTTGCAAGGAACAGCATCTAGTTGTTCGGATGATAAGAAAAGCTGAGGTCCTGTGTTCACCATGGCGTACACATAAAAAAAACCCTGTCAGTTGGAATTCAATTACTGTTCAGGCAAAATTTCCATCATAGGGCACTGTATGACATATGCCGTCTTCATTAACCTAGTCGGAGCAGAAAGGTAGGAGGTTAAACCCCATTTCATTTATTTATTCATTCACATCAAATAAATTACTAATGAGTAAGGTTCACATACGATTGTGAAAGCTTTTTATTGAGCTTCTAATCCGTAAGTATATTCTTTTAGGTTTTACAAAATCTATGAAAGAGCTTCAACTGCATCAACAGTTAGTAGAGGAAATAGCATCAAAAGCTTCAGATAGTGATAAAGCTTCAAGTAAAGATGAAAGTAGTGATGGAGATGAAGAAGATGAACCAGAAGTGGAAGAAGAAGAAACCATGGAAGTAGAAGAGGAAGGAGAAACAGATAAACAACAAGTAACGTCAACCAGTGTTCAACCACCACGTAAAAAACGAAAAGTTTCTAAGGTATGGACAATTTGTTTCTCCGCTTGAAGTTATTTCTCAGAGGAAACATGGCTTGAGAGTATCCATAACAGAGTTCTCATTTAGATTTGAAAATTAAAATAACCTGAATTGAGCATCATTTGCATTTTTACAGAAAATACAGTAAACTTCGCATAGATTGGATCTAAGTGGACTGACAAATTTTATCCGAGTTAAGTGAAGATCCGAGTTAAGTGAAGATCCGAGTTAGCCGAAGACCGAAATTCAATCTTAGCTTCATTAGAAATAAACTGCAAGAGCTGGATAATAATTGATTCAAAGACACATTTCAAGCTTTTGTTCATATGTGCGAATAGATAACTTCCGTTTTGGTGCAAGTAGATAACTTCTGTTTTGTCGCCATCTTTGAAAAATTTCCTAAATTCTATTATTGCATCGCGTTAAATAGGTTGATTTGAGTCAAAGTGATAGGGGAAAGTATTTTGGGCTCTGTGCATGGAATACCTAACTGCGTTTTAGACCATCGGGACGAACATTTTGATCCGAGTTGAGCAAAGATCCGACTGAGGAAATCTGACTTACATGCAAAAATTATATAAGAAAAACATGCAGGATCAAAGGGTCCAAACGATTTTATCCGAGTTGAGCAAAGATTTGACTTATACGAATCCAACTTATGCAAAGTTTACTGTATATTAAATTTCTCACGGCTGATATAGACTCAAATTGAGTTTTTAATATTTAATTGAGAGATCAAACATCAACACTATATAATCTCCCTGCTTGGATTCAAAAACTCATGCATGATAGCAGAAGAAATAGATCTCTCAGGTGAAAAACAGTACACTAACATCAATTCAGGAGGAGTTGTCATGGTTAAATTACACCCAAACTGTCTGAGAAGCACTAACTTTCGAAAGTTGATTAGTGTGAAACTGTAATGGAACAAAATTGTTCAATAGATATTAAACAAATACGACCCACGGTGTTTACCTGAAGCTTCTGTAAATGTAAAGGATGTCTGATAAGTTTAATGTTTTGTCTTTCAGGCTGCCTCCCCTGAATCATCTATTATTGTTACATCAAGTGAAGATAAAATAGCTCATTCTCCTCCAGTACCTACATCAACTATAGCCTGTCAAACACTTAAAATAGTAAGTATTATAACCTTCTGCTCCAACTATTTATAGAACCCTATTATAGATAAATAATGATCACACAGCTACTAGAATCAACTTTTAAAGCTACTTATATATGCCACCGTTCAAGCGCTATATCAAGTTTTATATTTCATGATATCATTGGTGAAGCCAACCTAGCAAATGTCAATTGGAAGTGGTAAAAACCCAATGGCATATTGAAACATCAGGTAATTAAGGGTACAGCCTGAATAGTGGGAGGGCGGTTGTGGGACCTAGAATAGTTGTCATCATTACTTCTATTCTTTATGGGGGTTGGATGGCCGAATGGTTAGCATGTGCGTGCTGCATCAGGTCTGTCATTGAGTCAACTGGTGTGGTGTCGATTCCCTGGTTGTATGTGACAAGGAGTAGGGTCGCCTGTCCAACCTCGTTGGTTTTGTCCAGGTCCTCCGGTTTACTCCCACTGCTAAAGACCCCTACTCGCAAGCGAATTGTTGAAATAAATATTGAACCATATGTTAGTCCCGAAATGACCTAGTTTGTGTTGAGTGGAGGTTAAACCCCATCTTTCTCTCTCTCTCTCTCTTGTCAAATGATAGTCTGGTATATTGAAGTAAGATTGCTGTTATATTTTTTGTTTCCATTTTAGAAAGAACATTCTAGAGCAAGTCAGACAGATGAAAGTCAGTTTAAAGATAAAGCAGAAGTTACTTCTTGTGATTCCAAATTGTGTAATTGTAAAGAAAACCAGAGTGCCCTGGAAGAACTCCGCAAAAATCTCCTCAAAGAACATTCTAGTGAAAAAAGTGAAGCTTTACAGGAACTCTCCGAAAAGGTGAGACTGTTCAGGTTTTTGTTTGTATAAACTCCATCCTATATATTACGTATTACAATATATTCATACTCCTGTCTGTCTGTTGATCTATCCACTGGGCCTTAGTAACTTGTTGATTAATTTACTTTACCTGATAGGTGTCTAGGTGTTCACCAGGAAGCCTAGAGGTATGTCATTATACATCTGTATCTCTAGCTTCCATTAGTAAGCTAATTATTACCTCAATATTTTTAGTTATTAAAAAGTTTTGAAGAAGATAAACAGCAAGCTGTGTCCAGGACTATGGCCAATACCAAAGCAGAGATAGAGAGAGTGAAAAAACAAGCAGAAGAAAAATGCAAAGAAAAATACATGGAAGAAATGAAAAAATTAGCACAAAAACATAAAGATTCAATATCACAAACAAAGAAAAAACAATGGGTAGGATTTTTGTTAGAATAAACAAATTTAAACATATTATTTAGAGGGTCCGAGCCAACTGCACTGCGTACATGATGACCATCAGGTCCTGATATCACAAACATGTGTTTATATCTGTAACTGACATCAATATTACAAGCCCTGGATGTAACAATGTATAACATCTCATTTGATGAATAACAAAGAAGGTGACACACTAGATAACAAGCTAGTTTATCTATGTGATCCTTATTGAGCCTAGGTGTTGTATCGTTGTGTCCTTAAAGATGGGTTCCCAGCAAAGTATTTATCGGGTGGTTATTTCCAATAAAAGTATGGTAATTTTGGTATATATGGAAAGTAGAGATATCCAATCTTACTAGAAAAATACTGGATTCCCCGAAAAACAATCATGGAACGTATACAGGACAAAAATGTAAGGGTTCCCCTACTCAACAGCCCGATGATTAGGAATTTCTGCACGCGTGATGTCAAAGGTCACACGCGAACATTGAGTGCTTGATGGACAAGTTGATAAACTTTATGAAGAGTTAGACGTACAACACTTTCTGAGATAAAAATGACGGAAAAAGACGCGGGTAGTGGATAATCCGAGAATTTAATTAGGATTCGATATTTCTAATAAATAGTAAGCGATTAAAGACAACATCGTCTTATGTATGCAATGAATTCTCCTCTGACTTCTAAGAGAGGTAAGTCACGTGACGCAAACGTGACCTGGTTTGATCAAATTTTTATAGCAGGACATTCCTTCGCAATTACAATGTTTGAGAAGGATTTGAAGCAAAATTATGACAAATTAATTAGTTTGAATATGTTTTTAGTCCATATATACCATTAAATCACCCAGTTTGTACGCGGGAACCCTTCTTTAATATAAACCACTTTATTCTTGTAATCCTATCTACTTGCTTACCAAATATATTAAATCTGTGGGGTTGAAAACAAATTATCGCGCAATGAAATAATGGATTTATAGTTCCTGAAAGGGAGATCAAAATCAGAGTATCTTTTGTGCCATTATACAGGGGGTAACAATAAATGTAATGTTGATATATTTTTTTTTTTTTGGCAGTGTTTTAACTGTGAAGAAGAAGCTATGTATCACTGTTGTTGGAACACATCATATTGTAGTGTGAAATGTCAACAAGAACACTGGCACAAAGAACATAAACGCATCTGTCGTCGCAAAAGATGAAGAATAAAAAAACAAAAAAACCTGCATGTGAAGCTAAAGACACAAGTGTTGCCATCGTTTAGATTACAAACTTTTAAAGTGATGGTGTGATTCTTGTTATTGTTACTGAAAAACCAGGCATCTTTCGTGTATGATGTGATGCCACTTTAAATCATTCATCTTATTGTGCTTGTTAATTAGAATTCCTCATCGTCATAACTTGGTCTCCTTGTGCTCATCATAGTCCACGCTAAATTAATTGATATGGTCAATATTTACGCTATGGCTAACTCTTAACCTTTAAAACAAAGCACAGGTAAACCTGGTAAATATTTATGCTATATCTAATTCCATCTAGGTCTAAAACAATTCACGCCATAAATATTTATATCTAATTCCATCAATGTTTAAAACAACACACCTGGTAAATATTTATAATATTTATGCTATGTCTAATTCTATTAAGTTAATTATAAATCAAAACACCCGATAAAAATTTATGTCTAAAAATGAAAATATGGGTCCTGTACCTGCGTCACAATTCATAAATTTAGAAAAATGTACTCTCCTTTTGTGATTATTTTCAACATTAGATCAAATAGCACTTCATTAAATTTAAGGGGTTTTTTTTTCTGATTTGAAAGCACAAGCAAAATTTAAATCCATGTGGTGGAAACAGTAAATTAAATGATAATGTAAATTGTAGCATAGTTTACTACTTGATTCACTAACATTTGCCAAATAAATCAGTGTCTTTGAACCAGCTATTTATTGACTATAAATAGAACTTCTTTTATACACTTTGACCAATCATATTAGACTGTCAGTGAATTTGACTAACTCCACATTTCAATTTACCAGGCAGTCAGTTTGCACCCATTAAAATCTGGTATATCAAAGAATTTAACCATAGTGCACAATAACAACTGTTAATTTATAGGTGTTAAAACAAGCACTTCAAAATTGTTTTTATGTAGAAATTAACCAATTCTTCTGAAAAAAATATTTTGTTGAAATGATATAAATGAAATATGCAAAAAAAATGATTAGCTGTTAAACTTTTTAAAGTTAGAACCGCATCTTAGATATTTACATCCTAAGAAGTCACATATTTTGTTTAAACATCAAAAGTAAATGTATATTAAAGGGGCATTATGTAAGATTAGATAAAAAGTAGAGAATGAAAAGGGAATATGTTGAAAATTTCAGTCAAATTACTTCACTATGAACCGTGTTATTGCCGATACAATTACAATGTAAACTTGATTGCCATTGCTACCGATAATAAACAAAGTCTCGATTATCCATTTTTACTTTAAATCATCAATCATAAATGGTATTTAAATCTATTGAAAATCTAGACTATCCGATGGCACCAAGAGTTGATTATGGTCATGGTGAGTTAATTAATGTATAATTAATAATTTATATAACATAAGACGTGCAATAGGCAGATTTAGCTCTTGCATAATGCCTGTTTAATTAAAAACTAATGTTGATTCATTCATTGAGTAGTTGAATTAATGATCACAAACAAACATTCAAATGTTAATTGAAACTAGTCATATACATGCTATATCACCAAAACAATCCATGGTGTAGGAAAAATGGTATAGGATTCGCATTTCAGCATTTAAATATAAATAGAGGCATATTATTCACAATTCTACAAAACGCTATCCACCATTTTATAAAGCAATTCATTAACTGAGAAATATTCATCAAGGTGTGTCAATCATATTCTATAATAGTCTATAATTTTCTTCCTTATTTTCCCCCATATATACCGGTAGCTATTTTTTGTTCTGTGTTGGAACTTCCAAATTGTGGAATTGCGCGCTTATCCCTCATCTACGAGAGACAAAACCTGCTTGTTGCTGGAAAGCTATCTAGCTGCAAAGAATTTGGTATGAGTTGAGATTATTAGTAATCAATTTTCAACTTCAAATTCGAACTTTTGAAGGTAGTTATTCCATGGTGGGAAATAGAAAACAAGGGAGGTAATTGTGTTATTATTTCCGGTGTGAAGATTTTTAAGTGTGAGAAAGATCGTATAATAGTGAGTTGACAACCTATTGAGCAAAAGACATAAAAATAATTATGTTTTGACTCTCTTAGAAAATATGAAATTGTAACTTTAAGGCAATACAGTCAAAAAAGGTTTCTATTCGGTTCATTATTCACAAAGTTATTGTGAGTTGTCAGCAAACTGATTAAAATACAGATCTCTTTCGTTTCGTTTTTTTTTTTTATACTTTCGATGGCTGTCACTACATAAAGATCTTACCGGTTGTAGTGGAAGCTCGCGACAAGTGTCATACGAGCGACTTTTGATCGAATGACGTCAGGCATTAATTAACCAATCAGCCTTGATATTACCACTCACCAAGAACTCACCATAACAGATCATTTCATTGGCTAATCCGTAACATACCATCTTTTCAGATCCTAGTGTAATAGACAAGAAAACATGAAATTTTGAACTAGAAAAACGAAACGAAATAGGAACTGTGTTTTAATCAGATTGGCGTTGTCAGCATTCAGAATTGTCTGCATAGTATACAAATGGACATCTTTCTAATCCGTTAGAAACTAAGCCAAGATATTATCTACGGTTGATATTTTGATTTCATAATTAAAATGATCAATTTGACTACATTTTAGTGTGCATTAAGCCATCAAAAATTGATATTGCTGACGATTGGCGGCTTTAAATGAAATTAAATAGCTAAATTTACAGTCATATCACATTATAAGGATTTAGACTGATGAATGCAGAAATTTGTCAAAGAGGAATTGATTGTCTCGCTTTACACATGTAGTAGTATCCTCATTCTTTACTTCATTCAGTGTACAAAGTCCATTATGGTATGCAATCATTTATTTACACCACATGGAGATTTCATAATGGTCAATCAGCCATAACCATAAGTCAAAATGCAGTACATGATTTTGGAGTATAAAAGATATCATGAATAATGAAGCTGGTCATTTGACCAAATAAATATCAGAATACTGTCACCTGCCGTTTTGAAGATAGAGATTGGCTTCTTTTATTGCTTATTGTTTTTATGAGCACAAAAAATGTCTTTTTAGTGTAGGGAAAGCAGAAACTAAACTTTGATCTTAGATTTTGGTTGATTTGCCATCATGAAATTTATGATATTTTGTATCATTTATTGCTAAATAGATATATGATTCTGTTAAATATACAATAACATCATCATTACCATATTTATGTTGGGGAAAGTCACTCATCCTCCTTTATCGATGTATATTTTGTTTGTTTATATATTGTTTGTTATTTTGTTCTTTGTGTATATTTTGCTTGAATCTGAATTATATATTTTGTTTGTATATGTATTTCCTATTTCACATATGGAGTAAAAATAATGGCTCTGAATAGGAAATTTTGTCAGAACTCCAGTTTTATCAAATTGAAGCCACAGAAATTTTCCATTAGTTTTTCACTTTTGCTGATCAGTCTTTTCTTTAGAACCGAATAAGGTTTAAGCTTTAAAGATATATTTCTTTTATATATAATAGATAATTATATTTTGTATGAACAGGAAAAGTAAAATTAAAGACTCATACTTAATCTCTGATTTAATGTTGAACACACTCTTTTGAATTTATTTTAGTTGTATCGATTAGATGAGTGCCGATCTATTCACAGGTCTGGTATATTTGTAATATACTTCATTAAATATATATCATTGAACAATGCAAATGATTTTCCAGATAGTTTTGATCGATAATCGTACGTAACTAACGTACGAAAATTAAATGGTAGCTGGCTCTTTTTTTTCGCACGTATACAGTGAATGGCCATTTTGCTCAGTAATCCCAGCCAGAATTTGGCTATTTTTTTAAAATTGCGTTAAAGTTTTAAATTTTTGTTTAGAACTGAAAAAAATTAACTTTTAGTCAATCCCCACGCTAAAACCATTAACATAATTTATTGTGTATATCTGAAATAGACACGACCGAAGCACAAAATAGTGCCAATATGCTGACATCAAATCTAGAGTTGTAGCTGATATTACTTTTGTGAAAAATCATTGGAAGAAGCGATAAGACATTCTGTACGGATTATACAGTCCTAAAGGCTGCAAGAAGGCTATAGTTTACAATGTAACATTGTGTCTTGTAATGTTGATAATGATGGTGTTTACATTTGTTTGTTGATGTGACCTCATGACCTGTGACGTTTAGATAACGTCATATGGATATCATGGCTATTCACTGTGTCAGAGTCACTTCTCTGCAGGTAGGGTGAGTCTGTCGTTCAGATTGATCGATAATTACACAATAAAGGAATATATCTTTATAACATAAATTTTGTAGACTTTTTGCTGAAGGGCCTATTAAAAGTATATACTTTGTTAGGCCAATGGATATTAAGAAAATTCAATAATCACCATTTGTGTTCTGATTTAAATTGTAGAAGTAGTTTTCATATTGAATGTTGCAGTATAATTCGTATATCAGGAAACCTTTTTCGACAATATTATGTATCTCCTCCAAACTGTCCCTAAATAAATACCTTTTACTTCTTCAAATTTCGCAGCACCCCAACTGTTACCATAAACTTAAATCTAAATATAGGTTTATGGACATAACCTACAGTAGATCTGTGTTCTATGTCAGATTTTTATATGCAGTTTAAATTTTGTATACATGTAATTTATATATGGTCCCTGATTATAGGGCAAAGACTATTGTATATTTTGAGTATTATTAATGCAGATGTTTGTGATGGGGCACTAATTTAGCAAAACTAATTAATATTTATTGAAATGCTGTTTTTGATAGCGCAATAAACACCATACAAGATTTTTTAAAAATAATATATCGTTTGAGCTTTAACAAATATTTAAAGACGAGTTACATCAATCATAATTAAATCATCTAATAAAACCCTAAAACAAATATTTTTAATGATTATTTAGTATTAATAATTTAAATCATGACCAAAATTGTGTAATAAACACTTAATTAGTAGGTCAGAGTTTCAACTGTTTCACACACAAAAAAAAATTCTTTCTGAGAGTATATTTCCATTGAATGTCAAGACAATAAATTATGGACCAAAATTGAATAGTAAGCCCTCGGTAAATTAATTTAATTATTAGAAGTTTTGCCATTTGAATATCAATGTCAATATTGTTGCAGGTTGTTAGTAACTTTATAAACTATATTGCTTATCAACTGTTTAATTTTGAAAATAATATTTATTGCATTCTGGAAACTAGCTCTGCATTTTACAGAAAACATTTGTTATCCCAGTAATTTTTATTTTAAGATTTTATCAAGAAATCAACATTTTTTTAATTTTTTTTTGAATATTTAATTTTATCATATCAGCATTTACAAAATAAATGATATGGCTGTGCTATTTGATAGGGGGTTAAATATATTAGAAATATATAAGAGATTTGGGGATAATTGTTTAAGAAGATATTCATTTATAAGGTACAATGTCAATGTAACAGAGTATGTTAACTTATTATGTAATCTAGCTTTTTGATGTATATTTATTATTCCTATCATACAATTTTTGTATCGTGTATTTTGTATATTTTTTTTTCTTTACATATAGAAATTATTTTTTCAGCTTTTAGTTTTTTTTCCTGTTAAATGTGAAAATATGTATGCAACAACTGAAGAGTTCTTTTAAGAAATGGGATAATTCCATTTCCGATTTTGATGAAAAGTGTCAGTGACATCAATAATTTTAAAAAAAGTAATTCATTTGATTGTCCAGTAGAACGGTAAGAATTCCCCCAATTATGCTCCCTGTACAGTACTTATGAATTGATCAACTACCATACTAAGAATATTCAATAGCAAGTTTTCACATTTATAGAAAGGAAATGGGGTTTAATGTTTATTCGTTTGTAGGATTTTACGTCTGCTTCCACCGTGGATGATATTGCAGACAAAGGGGTTTAACGTCCTACTGTTCACATTTATAGAACAAATTATTGTCCTTTTATGCTCAAATCAATACCACATATTATGGACCAGGAACTCACTATAAAGTCATTGCAGCCATCTTAGAATTGTGGTATATCAAAAATCGAAATCGGTCAATTGATGTGCAATTGTCCAAGGAACAATCATGCCAAGTTTCATGTCGATTGCACATGACTTGTTGAGACCGTAGGCTATTTTTGAAGAGCATCTCACTCAAGAACAACGTGATGAGTTGCATTCGGGGACCAGGTTCTGGTCCAAAAATATTATTGGAGTCATTTACAATCATGCTAATGCAATCGGTTTGTTTAGAGTTTTTTTTTATAGCACCTCTTATTTTTTAAATGCATGATCACAGTAAAAAAGTAAATTCCAATATGTGTGATAAATGTACTGAAAATATACTTGATTTTGAGAAGGTGAAGATAAAAATGGTATTTATCAATTTTAGAAAAGAGCTCTTCAGCTATTCTTTTTGCAATACCAGTATATTGTGGGGTTTAAACATAACGATTTCAGATTAGTTTATATTTCTGATAAAATAGGGAATTAACTGTCACTGTCCTGTGTTGTGTCTGTGTTACAAGACAAAAATACTACGATTATTACTAGCTGTGGGAACTCCTTAAATAGGAGAGGTGTCATCAAGTCAAGAGCAAGTCAATATTCATATACAATGTATATGTGGTTGTCTTGTATAAAGTAAATATATCTTGATTGTGTTTAAATGTGTGTCCTATATTGCCATCATATGCTGATCACGATAAAAGATTTATTTGTTTAGAATGTTAAATTCTGTTTATGTTTAAAACAATAAAAACAGTGAAAAAAATAAAAACAGACATGATGTTGATTTTTTTTTCCTGGGGAGAGTTCTTTCAAGTGTATTTAGTTCCTATCAAAAGTAGGGTGTCATTTCTGTATTATGATAGTTTTAATATATTGTTTGAACAAGTAGTGAAACCAAATTTCGTTGATTAAACATACATACATTATGCAAGAGCTAAATCTGCCTATTGCAGGTCTTTCTTTAGGCCTGAAATGTTTTATAAAGTATTAATTAGACATTAAAGGGTGAGGAGGCTACCCGAAACATGCTTTCTGTGTAGGATAAAGCATGAGACTGTGGTTAGGCTACACAAAATAAATTTTTTTGTTTTTCGGGCAACTGACAGCTGAAACTGTAGGGGGGGAGGGCGGTTTATTTTTTTTTTTATCTCATTTATGGCTAGAGGATGGTGCAAAATAAAATTTGCCTATTGTTGAAAATTGTTTGGGCGGGAGGGCGGCCTTGTATTTTTTTTTTTTTTTAATGAGAAAGTCATTACTTGTCTACGGTTTTGCTTTCAATTATATATTATACATACTTAGAACATAAACCCAAAAATCAAGTCTACTTAAACACTGAACACTGACTGAAAGGAAAATAATTTTCATATTTAATTCACGTAATGTAGCTTACTAATGGTAATGGTGACAACCATAATTGAAATTGGTTTAAAATAAAATTCCGTACGACTATTAATAGCCGTCCATAATAACGACAATATTTTAAAGAGTAAACCTCTGTCAGCATGTGTATCAAAAATAATCATCACGGTAAACGACACTGCGATCTAAATCTAGTATCGCTGGTTTATAATGATTGACCTAATTCCAACCAATGATACGTGTCATCGGGATATGACTGTTTCTCAGGTTATTCGGTGTGTTTCTCAGGATATTCGGTGTTCTATCTGGGGTTTATATCGAATGACTATTTAAATTTAACTAACAATTCGTCAGTAAAACCATCAAATGTGTAATCCAATTATTATTTTCCGGATTATCAAAACTACCGTTAAATGTGCTAATGACCCAGATTCTGACTACGGTATGGTGACTATCATCGTCTCGTATTCGTAGCCACAAGTTATAATAATTAACCTGTTCTACGATTCATTGTTTTATAAGTAGGATTTTTTCAAACATGGACCGACTGAAGCCGGCAATAATGAGCCGATTAAGATCGAATAATTGGAATACATTGCATTGTTGTCAATGAGTATGACTTTCGATGTTCAACACGAATCAAATTCTAGTTCACAAGGGGAGGTAATTAAAATCACGTGATACAAAAATGGAGGTTCTTTCGATATCAATAAAAAAAGACCCGTAAATGAGCGTTTACATCTGAATCAGTTTAATACATTTGAATGGATATTCACGTATGGGGCATGTAGATACATGCGGCATATTTTTTTTATGACTTGCTTATCGATGTTCGGGCGGGCGTTACATATTTTTTATTTTTCATCAAGACTAATAAATAGGCCGCACGCGCAACCAATTTTGCGTGCGGGCGGTGCCCGAGAAACAACTTATTTTATTTGTGTTGCCTTATGCTGGGGAAAGAAAGACTGAAGAAAATAACCTGAGGTCTTTCTTCTCCAGCATAACCTAAGTCGAGGACTTTATCTTGCTTATAAACCGTCTATGTTTACATTTTCGCAAAATAAGAATATCCAAGAATTCCCGTAAGAAAAACCTTAGATCATGTTTTCTTATGGGGAAAAAAACCTACCCTGGAAGAATAACCTGTTACAGGTTTAAAGAAAAACTTTCAGAAAAATAACCCCAAATTCCCCTGTATATATCCAAAGCCGCCTCCTACTTTCAGACCTCAAGTTATTCTGGGCATAGAATATACCCCAAAGATCAAAGAGATTTACCGTTACAGGTTTTTAAGAAATTCTAAAGCTGGTGAATTGAAGATGGCACAAGTAGTAAGGAAATGTAATAAACAAGGGAAAACTAACATGACATTATAAAGAAAGAAAAAATTGTTGCCAGGGTAACACATGTTTTGGAAAAAGTATGAAAAACGTAGGTACACCATATCTCTGGCACTATTAAAGATAAATGTCTTGTATTCGGACTGCTTATTCTTTAATAACCCGCTTATTCTTTAATAACCCCAAAACCAGACAGAGAGTTTTTCTCTATAATTTTTATAGTTTCTTGGAAAATGGTGTTTAAAACATTTTGTCTCACCACAATATTTTGTCTTTGGAGAAATGTTTTGATAACTTTTGAAATATTAATGATAATTCAAATTGCTTTCTGTCTGATTCTGTGGTAGATATTAGTTTACATATCCTGCAAATTTGGCGAAGATATCTCAAGTAATTACAGAGATATAGTGTACTTATGTTTTTCATAATTTTTTCCCAAAAAATGTGTTACCCAGACAACAACTTTTTTTTTAATGCTAGTTTTCCCTTGTTTATAATATTTCCTATCTACTTGTACTATTTTCAATTCAATAGCTTTAACATTTCAGAATAAAATTTTTCAGATAGCCTCCCCCCTTAATTGATCCAGACCATTATCAACTTTTGATGTCATTGCTAGCCTGCGATGTTTATTGGATAAGGTTCAGATTCGCTGTTCAACTTCCACTCATGATTTAATCATGAAATGGATAATCGAGACTGTTTTTATCATACCGATTTAGTAATGATGATCGAGGCTAGGCCGAACATTCAATCACTAAAGTCTTGGTTCAGAGTGGATCAATTTGACTGAAATTTTCAGCAGATTCCCTTTACAATCTAGTTTTTAACTATTATAGTGAGAACTGCCAGCTCTTTATCTAATCTCCCATAATGTATCTTTATTAATGAATGTTGGAATTGCATCCAAGAACCTGATCTAGCTGTATCCTGAATTAAATAGTGAGGTTTGTTTTATTTATGAAGCTTTCAAAAATTCTAGAGCCATCATCACATATGTGATAGAACTGGTTAAACACGTTCCAAATATAATTTTAACACAGAGATCATTGCAATAAATTTCTGCTCACTGATAATTCCTTCAAGACCAAATGTTGTTATATGAGACTGTGGAATCTAAATGTCATTTTTCATCTTCAATCACGATGTTGAATCGTGATTCTGACTCTGCACCTTCATACTTATTGTGACTCCTTTTTTGGCTCAAATACAGCATCTTGGAATTATTTTCAAAATCATCATTAAAATTTCAAAACTTATCATCAAAGATCTATTCTTGCAAATCACATTTGTTTTTCTGAGATTATGTTTTGGGTTTCAACGCCAAGACTAGTAAGACAAGTCATTGTGAAAAATACATAGGCTACTCAACTTTCTTCTTTGTGTATATTTGGAACGTGCTGAATCAGTTCTATCACATATGTGAATAATGACGGACAACAATATTGTCCTTTAATGAGGGAATATCCATTGAAAGCAACTAGGACACTCAAGAGTAACGTGGTATATATATTCAGGTGTAATGCAGGACACTTTGTGGGCGTAAACCAGAGAATCTTAATGAAACCACGAGGTTAAGGAGACAACTCTAGTCTTTGTCATATACAATCAGAGGATTGAACCTGCATCCTGGAACTAACTACACGTAAAAACATCTGATGGGCATGGAGTCATTATTTTCTAATGCCATCTGGCATAGTCCTTATTGAAACCACTTCAACTTGTTGCTTACAGTACTTGAAACCTTTTTTAACAGAGAACTCAAGCTTACACATAAATTCAAAAAACTTATATTATCATAACATAATCAATAAATCATTTTATTTACATATCACAGAGTAAATCTTTTATAACATATTAAAATATAATGCTGTTTAGGTTTATTGAATATTTAAAGCATTCACATATTTTTGGCTGTTCAAATAAATATGATAAAAAAAAAGTTTGGAAGTGGAACAATATTAAAGATTTCTTGGGGATTAAATTCCCCCCAAATACCATTTTGTTTAATTAAATTAGATATTGGGTGTGTCATGGCTCAATACCCTCAACCCCTAAATTAATAGAGTTACTGTTTTGTCTTGAGCACAGTTTTGGCAACAATAGTCTTTAAATATATATCAAATGTCAATTAAAATATATACTGTAAGTTTGATAACGAATTCATAGAGCTGGAATATTAGATTACTCCAACATTTAGAATATCAACAGATAAACTTGAGATTATAAGACAGAAAGTATTGAGTTCCAATGACCATTCAAATGTGATACCAGGACTTCAATATAAAGCTGTCAGCAGCATTGGTCACACAAAGGCTATATAGCCAAGTTAATGGTAATTTACAAATGATTATTCACATAAATTGTACAATTAAATGCTGTATATTGATATCTAGAGACAAAATATTAAACTTAAGCAGATGGCAGAATAACAACATGTGATACAGTTGATGGGCGGCCATCTACATCCTCACTTTCTGCTGCAGTCCTGGTTAAAAAAATGAAAAGAATACAGATATTTCATTACATGCAAAAGAAAAAAAAAACTGATTTTGAACTTGTGCTTTTTATAAAATTTGACTAGAGAGCTGGTTGAGTAGGTAGAGATAGTTGATACATTAAATTTCAGTCAGGTTGAGATATACAAGAGCAGATTAAGTATGTAGAGATAGTTTATATAATTACCTGAGAGCAGGTTAAGTATGTAAAGATAGTTTAGGTAATTACTTGAGAGTAAGTTAAGTATTTACAGATAGTTTACATAATTACCTGAGAGGAGAGCAGGTTAAGTATGTAGAGATAGTTTATATAACTACCGGACAGCATGTTGTGTATGCACAGATAGTTTACCCGAGAGCAGGTTAAGTATGTAGAGATAGTTTATATAATTACCAGAGAGCAGGTTAAGAAGAGATAGTTTATGTGACAGAATATAATGTAGAGATAGTTTATATACTTATGAGAGCAGATTATGTAGAGATATTGTTTTACCTGAGAGCAGGTTGAGTATGTAGAGATAGTTTATATCATTACCAGAGAGCATGTTAAGTAGAGATAGTTTATGTGAGAGGAGATTAAGAATGTAAAGATAGTTTATATAATTATGAGAGCATGTTGAGTATGTAGAGATAGTTTATATCATTACCTAAGAGCAGGTTGAGGAGGAGCAGGTAAAGGTTTGACATCAACAGGAATATCTTGACCATCTTCATCAGACATGATTTGATTTTCTAAAAAAAAATGTATTCTTCATTTTTATGAAAATGTAAAAAAATTCAGTCTGGAAAGGAAATTTAGTCTAAAAAGCTATCTTATATCCAGTAGAGTTTCCATATTGAGAATCCCGTTATGGTAAAAAAAAAAGACCTTTAGAATTTTTTAAATCTGCAAGTGTCTAGTCAATGAGATGGTGCTTTCCCTTTTGTTTAACACATAACAAATCTTTTGGCAGTTGTAATAAAAGGACAAAATTCTATTCCCTCACATTGGAGGTGTAACCATAAAAACAGACATATGTTATTTTCATAATGACCCAAGACAGTGTTAAGATACATTGCACACCAAATGGTCACACTCCTTACACCAAAGCAAAATCTTAACAAAAGTTAACATCTGACATATTATGGTTCAAATGATATCAATAAATAATCTATACTAATATTTGTGACTGTCGTTTGTCTGTCTGTTCGGGGTTGGCGGCTACACTAGGTCTGCCCCGAGTCTGAAATTTGGGGTATAGGGGTAGCTCGGACCGGGGAGTAACATAGGCCAGGTGGTGTTAGTCTACCACTTCCAGTTTCAGGATTATGACCCCCGAGCAAAGCTGGGCATTCTTCTAGTAAATATATAAAATACAAACCTTCAATAGAGAGTATAGTTGTTCCTCTACCACTAGGAGCTGATACAGTATAGGATATATTATCTTTATCTCCTCCGGCATTCTTATCTCCCTGGTTACCATTACTACGACCGCTTTTAATCTGTTTAGGAATATCCGGCTTTAAAAAAATTAACGAGTATCATTAAATGTTTTCTCATTTCCATATGTATTCTGAGTTTTAAACGCTTTAATACATTATAACCAAGTCAGGTTATATGTATGTAGCCAAGAGAGAAAGTCATTTGGCTGGTGATCTGAAATGTGTTCTCCTTAATTTGCAAAAATCAAAAAGTGCTCTCCTAAATAAATCTCCTCCAGTTTGGACTAAGTAAGAGATTAGGTAAATAAGGAGAGTGACTCCTTTCATTTATAAGGCAGAGGTACTATAGAAACTTGCTACAATAGCTGGAGATAAAATACAGTACGTACCAGTGGTTTTCTACTATTACTTGATGGTATTCTAGCAGGAACTATACCAACTGGACTATCAACCTACAAATAAACAGTTATACAGGAATAAACATTATAATTACCTAATACTGTTGGATTTATGCTCAAAGATTCTTACTTATTAAATTTTTTTTCACGCAGCACCATGCAATCAGCAATCACATGACATTCAAATGTCATGTGATATGTATGGCATTTTGAAATCATGTGATTTATGTTACGTCATTGAGCGGTATATCTTGTTCGAGCTAAAACATTCTTTTGTCATCGTTACCATGTTCGTTGTCTGTGGCCAAAAAAACCAAAACTATTTGTTCTGTGTTTTTGTTCGCCAACATAAATGTTCCATCACTATTAACCCCCTACACCACATCACTCTACTGAAATTACAGTCTCATTTTTCAATTTATATTTTGAGAAAATGTTATATATGGTGGGGGGTGGGGGTCCAATATGATTTAAGAATGTTATAGAATTATGACATTTTATCAAATTCCCCACACCTGTAATTAACAATAACAAATGAACTATAAAGTTATCCAATATTCTGAACACATTTTTCCTGTTTAATTTGCACAAGCTTCGTTACCCTTAAATATTGAGTTTATGTGATTGTCACAGTTTGTGAAATCGAGAACCAAATTTCTGAGGTTTCAAGTGAATATCCCCAGCGAGTAAGACCGTTTTACTTACAGCATAACTAACAGCTGCATGATGTAAATTAGCTGCTTGTCTTTGTAATGTTTGACGTAAATAACTTTCATCTTTTAAAGCATGTAAACTAAAATAAAGAACAATCATATTATTATATGTAAAATAGGAGGGTAACGTAGGTTAAAGGGTTAAAAAATACATACTGGGCCCTTATTCACGAAAACTTAAACTAAGTTACAACCGAGATTTTAAGAAATACTGCAACTTCATTGGATATATGCAAATTGATTTTACTGGTCCATACAGTAAGTATAGTTAAACACACAAAAGAATTACTATCTCATATTAACTTTCAATTTTTTTCCTCTTATATCCAATAGGAACTTAAGTTATTTCCAGATTCTATAACAAAAGAAAGAGTCCTATTATTAAATATTTTGCTAGCTTACCTTTGTTGTAAAATGGTAAATTTCTTCTCCCATGTTCTATGTATTCTTTCTATTTCTTTCTTTAATCTGAAAAAATAGAAATATAGTAAGTAGAGTGTTTTTAAGATAAACTTCATTAACAGAAAACACATTCAGTTTGATCTTGAGAGAGATTTTTCAATTAATCCACATAAAAATAAAGGCCTTGTTTGTCATATTTCAAATCGCGTTATACCTTGATATTTCCTCTTTAAGAGCAGATTCATTGGTGGGATTAACAACTTTTTCTACCTCCGGTTTTGTTTTAGCAGGTATTTTCAATTTTTCCTGAAAGAAACGTAAAAGTTAAGCTGAATAATTATTATATCTAGGCTTCTGAGAGTAAAGTAATGAAAATATTTTTATCTAATTATGCCACGGACCAGGGTCCTTATTCACGAAAACTTAAATTAAGAAACAATCGAAATTTTAAGAAATACTGCAAGTTGATTGGCTGACCAATATGCAAATTGGATATATGCATCACTGACAAGGCGAACTCTCCAAACAAATATGAAGTGGAATCGGGTGTCCCAGAAAGAGTAAACATATCCTGCTTCGTGCACTACACCCTAGGACTACACCCAGAAAGAGTAAACATATCCTGCTTCGTGCACTACACCCTAGGACTAAGATTTCAGAAGCCTGCAATCGAAATTTTAAGAAATACTGCAATTCAATTGGCTGACCAATATGCAAATTGGATATATGCAAATTGATTTTACTGGTCAGCCAATCGAATTGCAGTATTTCTTAAAATTTTGATTGTATCTTAGTTTAAGTTTTCGTGAATAAGGGCCCTGGTTGTGGGATTCCCTTAACAAAGAAGCTGTTATATAATATTATAAGCAGTAGGTTAGTAAAAATCGCATTATGATAAAATTATTACTGAGATTAGATTTTAAAAAATATAAGAGCTCTCCAAACAAATGAAATGAAATGAAATGGGGTTTAATGTCCTACTGTTCTGCTCCTAACCTGGGCTAATGAAGACGGGCATACGCCATACAGTGTGCTATGAGGGAAATTTTGAACGGGCAGCGGCGCTACAGCCTACTCTTGTATCGAATTCCAACTGCCAAGGGATCTTTTACATGCACGCCAATGTGTACACGGGACCTCGGTTTTTCGTCCCATCTGATCGACTAGACAGCTGTCCTTGCCCCGCCCTCCATCCTGCATCACTGACAAGGGGAACTCTCCAAACAAATATGAAGTGGAATCGGGTGTCCCAGAAAGAGTAAACATATCCTACTTCGTGCACTGCACCCTAGGACTACGATTTCAGAAGTCTTATCGACATGATAAAAGTTAACTGCCATCCACAGTAAATTAGACAATTCTTCTAACACAAAAGCAGCTAGGTGTGCTCACTTTAAAACATAACCCATGTCATTTTACAAATAGTTATTGCTTTACATTGTCTGATGCTAATTCTCTAAAAATCTGTATACCTTCATTAACTGTTCCTCTAATAATTTATTTTGCTCCATTAACTCTGTGATTCTTTGACTTTTCATGGCTTCAGCATCTTTAGCCTCCTTTGCGGCTGCGGAATTAATCTAGACATAAAAATAAAAAGTAAACAATCCATCATCAGGACCAGTTTTTTTTTTAAAAAAAACCCAAAAAAACCCACTATGACCTCTGTAGTGTCCCACGCTAACATGCAATTATGCCCGAATAAACAATCAAATTTAGTTTTCAAAAATTTTGTTGAAAACTCTGACCTGTATAACATTTCACAAGATTACATAAATCTGTAATTTTAACTGTATTTCTACTTTGACCCAAATAATTAATTTAAAATATTCCAGCGAGAAGTTTGTCCTGTGTTTCACAAGTTTCAAAAGTCTAAATGTGACTTGAATAACTCCACAAAATTTGTTTAAAATTTATGACAGGAAAGTCTTGAAATTGATAGGGTTCTTCCTTATACCATAATGAGCTGAAAAGAATCTGACCTGTATCATGTTTACAATATTTTATAAATTAGCAGAGAGAGAGGGAGAGAAATGGGGTTTAATGTCCACTCGACACAAACTAGGTCATTTCGGGACTAACACATGGTTCAATTTTATTTCAATAATTTGTTTGTGCGTAGGGGTCTTTAGCAGTAGAAGGAAACCGGAGGACCAAGAGAAAACCTGGGGAATTGAAACCACGCTAGTTGACTCAATGACAGACCTTACGATACAGCGTGCACGTGGTAACCATTCAGCCATCCAACCCCTCCTTTGATAGGGGTCTACCTAATGACAAAATAACAGTTTCTATCAATTTTTTTTTAAAAGAAAAGAGGTCAGACCTTCAGAGTGGTCACAAGAAAAATTGGACGCACAAAGGTGCTGACAATATAGTCCTCATTAACTGTGGGCATATAAAAATTGTTACATCACCTTAGAGTTCAATATCTTGAAAATTTCTTACCTCTTCTTTGGCTATTCTTAATTTTTCTTCCAATAATTTCTCCATTTCCTTTTTCTGTCTATCAGCCTAGATAAAAGTAACCACCAGATATATAAGACTGTACTTTTAGCAACAAATAGATCAATTAATATAATAATAACTTCAGGGAGGATCATAAGACTTTCTGTCCTTTGTTATCGGTCTACCATTTAAATATTAGTGTATAAATTGCATGTATTTTGTGATAATCTTTAAACCCATATGGCCTATTGTCTGCTATAGAACACTGTTCAAACAAAGAGAAAGCCAACGAATGACCATGTTGCCAATTCGACTTATTTAACATCTCACTTATCGTAGAACAGGCATTAATTTTTCTATTAAAACTTTTTTGAAATAATATATGTATGCCTTTGGATGTAACAAATCATATGATTAGTCATTCAAACAATGATCTTCTTAGCAAAGAAAGTGGTTTTGTATGATATAGTCAGTGGATATCAATCCATCAATACCATCATATAAGGAAAATAAAAGAATAAGCCAAATTATCCCTGGAAGATTATGAAAGGGTTGTGTGTTCATCTGAGGAAATCTCTGTACTAATATGAGTTTTAAAAATGTTCATAAATCAGCAATTAATTCACACACAAATCATGCCAATTTTCAAACATTGAGATTATAATGAGCACAGGGTTATATAGTGCAATCAATTGTAAGATTCAAACTGAAAATAAGTTTATATAGTGCAATACAAACTGAAAACAAGTTATTCTGAAACATAAATTATCCAATTACATTTGGGATTATTTATTTCAAGGTTAAATAATAACAAAACATAAAACTATCAACTTGTTATTTCCTTGCAACTGGTGAGAGTGAATATATAGAGGGACCTAAATACACATTCTCTGAAATGTTCAACATTACAAGAAAATTGTCAACAAAGTATGCAGAGTCTGTAATGCTGATTGTGTGGGGATTGATGAGAATCATTCACTAAAATTCAAAGAAGATGGACTCACAGATAATATAGTTAATGCAGCCACACGCACACATAAAATCAAAGAAATCGCACAGACAGGTGAATATATCATGGGAATGGAAAAGGGCTCTTGTTTATAAAACTTTTCAGTTGAATCAGTCTGAAAATTTAGAATTTTGGTCTTTCCTTGTCAAATGGAATAAAATTTCCATAAAGCCTGAAATACAGACTTTCACCTAATTTCCATAAAGCCTGAAATACAGACTTTCACCTATTATGTATTACATTTTTCTGAAAATTTGTTTCACCATAGGGTCCAATTAAATAAACTTGATGATGTATGTATTCCTGGAGTTTTAACTGAAAAGTTGAGCCCTGTGTAAATTAGTGAGAGTAATTAATAAACAGACATAGTGATTATTATATTGTGATAGAACAAAATTTGAAGTGAGATTAAACACAGCACAAACTAAGTGCTGAGAATAATCAAATTAAAGTGTGTTGAGAGTATGAAAAAATAAATAACCTCTTCCTCATCCTGAAATAAAATTATAACTAACAATGATCTTTATATTCAAAAATTCTTTCACTTGGCTCAAATTAAAATTGGTGGTTTGATAAAAAAAATTAAATTTTTTACTAAGCTAGTCTACCTACATTTTAAATTTTAGGTCCACAGATAGAACCACCCGTAACTAATCAAAATAACACATCAGATCAACACAAAATTTAGGCTGTCTGACGTGTTTTTATTTAAGTGCTACAATTATTAATGATAATCTATAACTACTTTTTAGTTGGCCATGTAGATATATGCTCTATTAAATATAGATAAAGATACATTAGTTAAGAGCTAAATCTGCCCATTGCAAGTCTTTCTTTAGGCTTCACATGTCATAGAAATTAATTAGACCTTTATTTACATGAAAAGCTCAAAATCAACTCAGTAGACCCTCGGATGGCTTGGATACAGCTTGGATTTAAACAGTCGTCCATTTAATAATTAAATCAATAAATGGCTGACTAAGGTAACGTTTACTGTTAATCACTGACATCACTAACGGAGACTGCCAATGAAAAAGCCTGCCAATCGACAGTACTGTAGCCATTGGGAATGTTACTTGAGAATATGTGGGTGGAGTCATTGTCTGTCAATCAAACGATCGGCAATTCTCGGAGACAGTGTGGAGACAGTTGATACATATTTCTAGTCCAAACTTCCAACAGTGCCAACTTCGTCCAGAATTTTCAATATTTTCTTTTTCCATCATCTATTTTTGAATTTTTATAGCAAGAATGACCAACTCATTAAACTCTTAACTAATGTATCTTTAACATATTATATATCTACATTTCATTTATGTTTCATCTATTAGTTCTATACATTTCATTTATGTTTCATCTATTAGTTCTATACATTTCATGTATGTTTCATCTATTAGTTCTATACATTTCATTTATGTTTCATCTATTAGGTCTATAATACTTATAAATTATTGGTGGAATGAAAATCACCTTTTTATCAACTGAAATGAAAAGATCTGGGCTAATTAAGATAAGATGCAATTAATGCAGTGTGCTATGAGGGAAATTTTTGCCCAGACAGTGGTGCTACAGCCTACTCTTATATCGAATGCCAACTGCCAAGGTTTCTTTTAAGTGCACACCAATAAATACACAGGAGTTTTTTGTAACCCATTCGAACGACCAGACACGGTTCCTGGACAGACACTAATTAAAATATATCATCATTACCATTATAGACTGAAAAGCACACAACAAAACTTACTGTTCTTTTAGTTGATGCTTTATCATTCTCCATAGATTGCTTCATTTCTAACTTGTCATTTTGTAACTGGAAAATATAGGACAGAAAAATAAAATCTTAAATAAAATGTTATACCATCTTGTCAGCTTTGAATTGTTTTCATTACATAATTATTTTATTCAAATTTAAATTACAAAGTATTCATCTTATCGCAGACTTCTACTACAAGATTTATTATTTTCTAAAAGAATAGGAAATTGTTTCGAAATGTTTGGATGTCAAGATAGAATTTTGAGTTGCAAAATAATATATATCATTCTCTTCCACAAAAGTTACGAGTCTGTCAATTTCTACTGGAGAATCAGGGGTTTTTATCGTGATGGTTCTTATAAAAAATAATTAATTCCTATTTCTAACCTGCATGACCAGATTCTTCTCTCTCTGTAGTTGTTCTTTCATAGCAGCTATCTCTTTAGCTGATTAATACAAATAGAAATATTGATCAATTTGAAATTTTAGCACACCTTTGGTTACCTTTTAACCATATGCATCTGAGAGTAAATGATTACATACAATCGTACATATGTTTGTTTTGGAGAGATCTATATTGTTTGAAAATGTTTGATTTGACGTAATATGTATTGATTTAAATATGCAGATCATTGTTTTTGGAGTGATCTAGATTGTTTCAAATTTAGACGATAGCCTTGGAGTGATCAAGATTCTCTCAAATGCCCCTCCTCCTCCTTTGGCCATCAAAGCTATTCTTTAATAGACATGCCGGCATGCCTGACTGTTTGTTTACAAACCTAGCTCACTGTTCGTTGTCCTTTCTAATTTCTCAAAAATAAACAAAATCATACTTGTGATAAAATACAATCATATTCACAAAGTTAACAATTAACATTTCAATATTTTACCTTGTTTGAAAACTTCTTCACTTCTTTTGTTGACCTGATCTTCGGATCGTTTTAATTTCTTCTCCGTATTTTCTAATTGTTCTCGTAATTCTTCAGCTTCATGATTTATTTCAGGTGAAAGAGAACCCAGTGACTCTTCTAACTGTTCAGAGAAAAGAAAGAGAGATACAAAATAATTCATTTCAATATTTCAAATCAGTAATTCTCTTTAACAGTATGGGAAAATGGAAAACCCACATAAAACTCACAATGTTGTGACCTCACTCCTGTGTCAAGTATAATTCCATCCAATTACCCATTAATTCAAACAATTCTGTGATACTACTTTAATGAGTGTATAAAGTTTCTACAATAAACTAATTTAAAAGTTTAACAAGCCAATAAGTCCACATTTATCTCAACTGCAAAAAAAAATTTGAAATGCCAAAACTGTTGTTCTTATGTAATTAGACAGATCCAAGTATAAAAAAAAATTTCATGAAGAACAGACTAAGACTGCAGAATCATATTACTTTATTTATCTAAGACACATAAAGATGATGGGGTAAAATCAATAGGAAACAATGTAAACTATAATTTTTGAACCAAAGCACTTCTGATTGTATATGGAAATCTTTAGATAAAGCGGGTGTTGAGAGATAGTTAGTAAACAAATTGACCTCTGCCTAATATTTTGCAACACATAATCAATAGTATATATATATATAGCATTCTCCATCAATAATCAAAATAACAAATATCAGATCAACCCAAATCAATACTTTATTCTTATCAAATAAAACAAAGAGGTTTAGCTCATTTACTTATTATGAAATCACCCCAAATTAAAAAGAAAATGTAATATCAGACAAAGCAGAAAATTACAGAAGTATTTGCATATAGGCTAATTACAGAGATGTAGAGATAAGATTCGTCTTTATACAATATGTTTTAAAACAAACCAGAAATTTGGAGCCTTTTCTCCATCTCAAACATTAATGATTAAGTCAGAATATACAGCAAGCATATTATATTTAGAAGTAAAGTAATTTCTTTGACCTCTACATCCCTGTTCACTAATAATAGGTGATTACTGCACACAGTTTAGAAATTATTGTAATATTTAAAATTAAATGTTGGAATTAGACAGACAGGAATTAGGCATACAGTATCTGTTATTGTGATCAGAATTAGATTTGGGCTGTATCTGTTATTGTGATTAACAACAGATAAGAATTAGACTTAGGCTGTATCTGTTATTGTGATTAGAGACAGATAAGAATTAGGCTGTATCTGTCACTGTGATTAGTGACAGATTTGTTATTTTGATTAGAGACAGATAAGAATTAGGTTGTATCTGTTATTGTGATTAGAGACATAAGAATTAGGTTGTATCTGTTATTGTGATTAGAGACAAAAGAGGGTTAAGTAGTAGTAGTATCTGTTATTGTGATTAGAGACAAAAGAGGGTTAAGTAGTAGTAGTAATCTGTTATTGTGATTAGGGACAAAAGAGGGTTAAGTAGTAGTAGTAATCTGTTATTGTGATTAGGGACAAAAAAGAACAATGTGTTGTTGTATAAGACACAGGAATAAGACTGTGATTGGAAACAGATAGGAACTTGGTTGTATATATTAATTTTATTTTAATTAGAGAAATATTGGAATCAGGATGTGGGTAAAGAGAGTAAGTAATTAAACAGCATTTGTTATTATAAATAGATAGGAATTAGATTGTATCTGTTATTGTAAAATTTAAAGATAGATATATATATTTATAGGTTATATAAAATATCTCTTTACCACCATTACAACAGATGAGGAATTTCTGCCTTGACTCTATAATAAATATCATTTGTTATCTACATATATCTACACTACAGTTATTAATTCAATGTAAGTAAATACATCTAATAATAAAACTAAATAAATCAATACACAAAAACCATTTTCTCCACTATACATATGTAAGGGATAGATGTGAGCTAGAGACATGAGAAAGTTTTTGAAACACTGACTTTCTAGAGTATGTAAGCTTATATCCTGATTATGAAACCTTCACGGGAGAGACAGCTTTGCTTACCGATTCATCCAAAAAACGATGTAAATTCAAGACTAAAAAGGTTCCCTAAATTATGTTATAACATTAACTTTTTTTAAGTGACCCCGAGCAATCCATACTCGCCGATTTTTCTCAGTCCATCCCTGATATGTGTAATACACAAAGTGTGATATAAAAAAATATACTCTATTTACTATATTAATACAAACTATGTATGTCTAATATAAATATATGATATTTCTGCATAATCTATAATATGTTGCCTACTCCAATATCTATCTATTGGCTCTATCACTATCCGTGTATTTAAAAAACAAGAACAGATTGTTTTTATACCATTTTATCATCAGATAGAGAAGCATTCTGTTGATACTGTTGTAACTGAAGCTGCAACATGTGAATAACTGCTTCATTTTTCTGTATCTGATTCTGAAGATCCCGGTATTTTTCATCTATTTTACCACTCTCTCTATCCTGCTTCTTCTTCTCTTTAGATATTTTTCTCTCTAAATTTTTCTGTAAAAATTGTTAAAATTCCAGATACTAAATTTGCATTATGGATTTTACCGAGTTTCATGCATTATGCGGATTTAGTGAAAGAATCTAACTTCCACTCAACACAAACTAGCTCAATATGTCATCAACATAATATTATGGTAAGCTTATTTTTCATTTCAATAATTCTATGTGAGGAGGAGCCTATTAGAATAAAATTGTAACATGTTAGTATCAAAATGACCTGTCAAGTGAACGTTCAATTTACAAGCCATAAAATTACAATTTTAAAAAATCTAACCTTAAAACCCAATACAATTAAATTTTAGTTTTTATCTAAATTTGGGATAATGCTTAAAAAAAATGTCATTCTTTAGAAAAAAAAATATCTTGCTATCTCAAGTCAACAAAATAGGTTAAAAGAAGACTAAAATGACTAGTGGGCAAAATTTTTAAGTGAATCCCTTGATTGATTTTGACAACCAAAAACTTACGTTATATAAAACTGCCACTCTAGCTATTGCGTCTGACAACTGCTGCCTATAGGCTTTACGAATCATCTGAATTCTCTGAAATATAACCAAAGATCCAGATATGAACAAAAATGTAAACAAAGTAAGTTTATAGCTGAATATGAGATTATTGAGCAATTAATTCCAGATAAGATGTTCGTCGGGATGTATCTATGTAGTGCACTGTGTGTTTGTGTTCAGAAATACTCGCTACTGATGTTCATTCATCATACTGCTCGATCCTTGTAGATCGTTTTGTGATTTGTCAGAAGGTTAAGCTTCATCCCTCAAGGCTTATCAAGTCCTAAATCCTATGGGGAAATAATCTTTCATACTTTCCAGGTTAACAATGTTGCCCACAAGATGTTTCTTGCCAGAATTTATTGAGGAAAGCTAATTAAAATCAGTCTCCCACAGATTTCAGGATCACTATAAAATATAAATATGACCGTGGACCTTATATACATGTATATAAGGTCCATGGTATGACAAATATGCCCACCTCATCGTGCATTTTTTCCAAACCAGCAACTTTTTCATTAATTCTACAATACCTGAAACAAAGAGTAATTGAAAAAGTTTCATATTTGTTTGCTCGGATATCTTGTTAGGTCTGATGATTTTCTGTTTAAAAAAATGGCCAATTTCATTTTGTTGCCAGCTACTGTATGCTTTTAATGATTATAATGGTGTATAAATAAATAATAATATTGAACAATAAAAGCACTTACAGATCAAGAGATTTTTCTTGTAGTTTTGATTCATAATCTGCCTGCATCACATGTTTTGTAACATTTATATCTTTTCTTAATGTCTCTACATCCTGTAAAATATACAATAAAAGTCAATGATAAGTGTAAATTAATGTCATTTTAATGTTGGATGAATGTAAATACAACTTTTTTAAAAACCAGTACATGTAGGATACATTCCTAGTTCCTACTCTTCCACACATTGTTTCTGACATAGGGAGCAAGCAACTACTTAATAAAATTTCAGAAAGATCAAATGATAATTGTAGTCTTCATATATTAACAATGTTTCATAATGAGGAATGTCCCCACAGTTGACAAAAATCATAGGGACGAATTTTTAGAAAGCTGAACAATCTACTAAGATTTCAGAAAGATCTTGTGGTAATTGTTGTTTCAAGCATGTAAACACAAAACTGTGGACAAATGGATGGGGTGACATTAAAATTTAGGCATATATAAAAAGCCTACCTGAAGCAAGATTTGAATGACCTCTGTCATTTCCTTCAAGTCAAGAACCTCGGTAACATCAGTTTGTGATCCACGATCCAAACTAAAGAAACCAATCTTCTGTTGGTCGGCAAGTGATGGTCTTTAAAAAGATGAGTAGAAAAATAAAACCATATATTAATTATTAGATTAATACAGGCAAGTAAAATATTACTTTAATAAATTGATAAAAGAAAATTTTTGCTAAAGCTTGACAAATGAAGCCTAGCAATGTGCTATTAGGCAGTATACTATTTTCTTACCTTGTAACATTCATGCATATTTTCACCACCTGCAGGAAACATTACCCATATGTAGCATTCTACTTTATAACAAATAAAACTCATTGTTTGTCCTTGAGTCTAATATATTTTTGACAAGATGATTAATTGATTGAGAATGGTTTTGGAACTTAAATTCTTACATGTTGTGCCTTTAATACTCTATTTTCCAGTGTGTGGACCCACTTAAACAATGCTTTTATCAACATACCTTGGTGGGGTTCCTACAGCAACAGATTTATACATAACAACCCCTTCCAAAAGAAGAGCTGGATTAAAATAATCCATGTTTCCTAAATCCATGTTTCCAGATTTTCCTGATAGTAAAATCTTCTTGACTGCTTTAACTTTTTATAGTTTTGACTAATGACGTAAGAACATAAAGACCTTCAGCATCAACTATTGTTATTGTTATGACAGTATCAGAGCCTCATTAATGATACACAGTATAGACAATTATCCTAACTTAAAAGATTATAACTTCTGCACTAGCCTATAACTAACTGTTTCAGTCCCTAACAATGCAGACATGCAAGAATTTTCTGAAAAAAAGGTTGACGTCTATCAGATAACAGCTATAGTTTTATTGTACACCTTTGATTTACTCTTACCAACTCATTTTACAGGGGTTGTGTTTTCGTCCCATCTACATAACTAGACACTGTTCTTAGCCAGGCCCTTTGTCCTGCACTACGGAAAGGGAGAAACCACACTGCAAAATCCCAGGGAAATTACTTGACCAACACCAGGATCAGTCTACATAATCAAACTGTATATTGAGAGGAAGATGGCCGACAACCGACATCATGACATTTTAACAGGACAATACAACATTTTTACGTGACATTTTAATGTTGTGGTGTTGGGTAAAAATGTCGTATTGTCGGATTAAAATGTTGTGATGTCAGGTTAAAATGTTGTGATGTCGCCTTATGAAGGGTGATACCAATCAGCCACCATACTGGCTGGGTTTTTTTTATACCCATATTTATAGCATTTTTTATAGCAGCGGACTAGTGAACCCCTCTCAAAAGGCCTACATGGCTTTGAAAGTGTTAAGAATTTCGCAGATGTTTTAATTTATTACGTGCCTTATATTTCTGAATGATTGATATATAACGCAAAGTGTGATACTACTGACAATCTCAGCTCCCAGGGACTAGGGGGAAGTTTACCATTCCTCTCTCTGGGGAATCGCGCCAGCCATTATAGCCTATGTCGGCAATTTTGAATGTCATGTGACGTGTCACTTCACAAAGATCCAAGATGGTGACTCAAACTCACATTTCTTCAGAAATTTTGCATATTTTAAGCTCATATCGCCAAATCATTGCGCCCTAAAAATAGTTCCTTGTAAATCATCAAATCGACTGTTTTTAGAATTAATTTTTGATGTCAAGATGTGGAAAATGTTCCTAGGATCATTAATATGTAACTCATGCGACGAACCGATGCCTAATTGTCGACAAATCAGAGCATTTCATTCATCGAACAAATTCAGCCAATCAGGAGCAAAACTGCAGACTGGGAGACGAGCTTACGAGCTGAATTCAGACTGATTAATGGCCGACGTGATTCCCCTGAGAGAGAAAAACGAACAGTAAACTTCTCTGTGGTCTCTGTGAGTCGAGATTGACTAGTGATACTGAGTGATAGATAGCCTAGAGACACTAGAGTCTCGACAGCTACTGAGCTAGGCCTAGAGCCTAGTGAAATGAAACAGTTATGTTTAGAATAGATAGAGCCTGAAACAGTTATTAGCTTCACTAGTATTAGTAAAGTTTAATCCTGACCCATTTTCCAAACAAAAATACATATGAAGGAAAGAATTATTCGATTCTACAAAAATTATAATCATTATTGATTAACTTATTATTATTAAATTTTTTTAAAATTTGTAGTTACAAATCAGCGCCATCTTTGCAAACTGTGACGTCATATCATATCATACGTCACGTTTTGCTTGATGACGTTCACATACGTTAAAAAAATGACTTGAGACATAGCAAAAAAAAACTAGGAAAAAACATAAGAAACTTAGATGGCGTAAAATAACCCAAATAAAATACCTGAACAAATCGATTTCATTCTGCCGAGTGCCATATATCTGAAAAATACGATCTTGGAGTTCTTGTTCAGCTAAATTGTACTCATGAAGACTAACAGTCGGAACAGCCACCTCCGACGACGCCATTATTGTTGTCTTTGGCAACACTACCGGAAACAGGTGCCCGTTAAGCGATTAATAATCGAGGTAGACAACTCTTCACGTATCCGTTAACTTGCGCACGCGCCTTGTCTCCTTCCTTTCCGTCGCCATCTTTTGAGAAGGATACACGTGCAGTGAGCCTTCGTCATGGTTAGATACTCTTCAGAACCCGATAATCCTTCAAAATGTGCGAAAGCACGAGGATCCTATCTCCGTACAAGTTTCAAGAACATGCGGGAAACCGCCAATACCATTAAAGGTAATAAAAAGTAGTTGTATCAGAAGCCGTAGCCCAGCCCCAACGTCATTTTTACTAACTCAGTCATACAACAAATGTGAAATAAACGCATAAGAATCTATTTATTATTTTTACTTCGGTCAAAACTTTCTGACATTATCATCTGTTTTGTCGCTGTATCTCTGACTGTTTTATGGAATGTGTTGATCCTTTCATTTGGGTATCAATATCAGAATTGATATTCTGAATAAATTCAACCACCAATGCACCATATTCCAGCCCATAAAAATAGCAGCTGAATGGTGTGTGTGTGTATGCGTTGTATCATAAGATCTGTCATTGAGTCGAGTAGCGTCATCTGTCCAACCTCTTGGATTTTTGTGGATTTTCTCCTGGTCTCTGGTTTTCCCCCACTACTAGAAATACCCCAACGTGCAAGAATTAGAAATAAAATTGAACCTTATGTTAATCCTGAAAAGATCTAGTTTATGTCGAGTGGACTTAAACACCATCTCGCTCTCTCTCTCCCACCCCATTGCCTTACTGCCATACATGTAAACCGAATACGAATGCTTATTGCTATGGCTGTTTCTGGGTTTTTGAATTGCAGAGTTTCCAGAATCCAACCATTTCACAAGAATGTTGCATTCATCACGCCACATAGTAAATAGGCCACTCAATTTCTCATTGTGAAGTTTTAAAATATTCAAATAGTGAATACAAATTTTGATGAACTGACATGGAGAGGGGAATTGCCAGGGCTTGCTGCAGAAAGGTACAAATACAATGTGTCTCATATCTCAAGATATGGGAGGATATTATGTACTTCTATCTGACGATAGTTTGAGTTTTAAACTTAAAACTCCATTCACTGAGCGAAAACTAGTATCCCACTTTTCTTTAAAAAATGTTGGTATATATTTAATTTACGCTATACCCTACTAAAATTAAAGTACATAATCTGTCCTGATTATCAGAGCAGTCAAACTGTTGCGAGGCAGACCTGTTGAATGAAGTCCAAAACAGGACGTATGTGTATAGATTACTATTAGTCAATGTATATGGTTCATGCGTGTGTAATGCAGAGTAACTGTGAGTGAACTAAACTGCTTGATTAATGTCAGAATTATTTCTGACTGACTAGTCAATAAGAAAGAAGACAACCAAATAGCATATCATTAAGATCACATCTAACTAATCACTCCTAATAAACAGCTGATTGTTTGATTAGGCTAATTAATTAATCATGACGACCTATTATTGGGTAGGCTAAAATTAATTACAAACCTTACTGATACATACAGAATACAGTGTGCAAGTTAAATTTATTATATTCTATCTTTGCTTAGGAAGAACTTTGGCTCTAACCTGGATGGTTACTGTGCATGCAAAATGGCTATTATTAGTCATGATCTGATTCCAAGCGTCACCAACAGATACTGAATTCAATCTAAATCTTCTTTTTAAAATCAATGTTGACCAAAAATTTCTGATGATCTATTTTCAGGAATGCCATTAAGAAGAGCATTACGTTACTTGAAAAATGTAATGGAGAAAAAAGAAATAGTTCCTTTCAACAGATTTAATGGCGCTGTTAGTAATCACGCTCAGGCCAAAAACTTTAAATCTACCCAGGGTCGATGGCCAAAGAAAAGTGCTGATTTCCTTCTTCAGTTGTTGAAGAATGCTGAAAGTAATGCAGAGTTTAAAGGACTGGACACCGATCATCTCGCTATTACTCACATGCAGATCAACATGGCCCCTAAAATCCGAAGACGACTCTACAGAGCCCACGGTAGAATTAATCCCTTCATGAGTACACCCTGTCATATTGAGCTCATTCTCACTGAAAAAGAAGAAATGGTTCCCAAGCCAGCTGGAGAAGATGAACCCTCCAAAAGAAAGGTTTCCAAGAAGAAGCTTGCACGACAGAAAATGAAGATGAGGGATTGATCTAACTAATGTTATCAAAACAATTAAAAAAATTGAAAATAAGCTGTGTCCAATTATTTTTAACCAAATCACATACAGTTAGGGCAGACTCAGTAAAGTAAGGCGCTGGCTCACTAACCTGATCTCGGGTTTGCTCCCGGGAATGGCGTTGTTACCCTTTGGCGGTGGTGCAGGACAAATGGTCTGGCAAGGAACAGTTACAGGTTGCACAAAAAACTAGATTCCTCGGGTTCCTCGTGCATGTTCCTTCACAGTTGGAATTTGAAATTCCCCCTCGTACAACACTGCATGATGCCCGTCTTCATTATCCCAGTCAGTGCATAAAAGTAGGAACTTAAACCCCATTTCATTTCTGGCTTCACATCACTGCAATAATTGAACACTTGCCATAAAAATATTCATGTGTAGTAATTCTCCGATCATCACATTTAGATGGTAAAAAAAGTCATGTATTGCCATCTCAGTTTGACAGGGTGTGTACAGTCGGAGATGAATGTACTTTAGTCAATGCTTCTGAGAGCTGGATTCTTGACTAGTATACCCCAGGGTTAAATCCTGGTGTAGCCCCGATATTTTCAATATTATCCAGCGGGAATGTGTCTTATTGTTTGGATGAACAAAAAAACCTGATCCATCATTGGCGTGCATAGAAAAGAATCCTGCCATAACATTTTGAAATGGAAAAAAAAAGTAGGCAGGATCGCGTATCGCTGTTGAAGACAAATTATTTCTACCTTGTAATTGCACAGGGGGGGTTGGATGGCTGAATGGTTAGCCCGTGCGCGCTGTATCATACAGTCTGTCATTGAGTGAACTGGCATGGTTTCGATTCCCCGGATGTACGTGACCTGTCATTGAGTCAACTGGCGTGGTTTCGAATCACCGGTTGTACGTGACAAGGAATAGGGTCGCCTGTCCAACCTCGTGGGCTTTCTCCGGTTTCCTCCCACGGCTAAAGACCCCTATGCGCAAGCGAATTATGGAAATAATTAAACCATATGTTAATCCCGAAATGACCTAGTTTGTGTCAAGTGGATGTTAAACCCCATGTCTCTCTCTTTGTATTGCACATATAAACATAGAATGCTAGGTTGCCAGGCAACGAAATATTAGCCCTCAACAGCTAAGTCATCCAAACAGTCCACGGAATTAAAACACTGTCCATCAGTAACAATCCATGAAGTAATCATTTGAAATGATTAAAATTTTTATTATCTCCTATTTAATCCCTGGACTCATAGTAGTTCAAAATTTAATGTGCTAGATCAATATTACCATGAGATCCCGGTGTTCTCCAAGAAAGTTCCCAGGGATATTACAAGGTGGCTCTGTGTCAGTTGTGCAGGAGGAACGGCATCTTAGTCGTTTGGATGCGACGAGAATTCAAGGTCCCGTGTTTGTACATGTTGGCCTTCTCGTAAAATGACCTTAGAATTGAACAGAAGATTAGGAGGCTGTTGGTGCAAATATTCCCAATATCACACTGTCTTCATTAGACTGGTTGGTGCAGAAAAGTAGGACATTAAAACTTAATTCTAGTTTATCCAAGTGGTAACATTTTATACAAAAGGTACTTGTAATAAGATATAACTTCAGCTGTTCAGGGTACAAGAAAGTTTATGCAGTGGCCGTTTCCATTCTCATAGTATCCTTTCATTCACATTTGTTTGTGGACCCTCTAAAGGTCACAATTTTTATCTGATTTTGACAAGACTTTAAATATAGGTTTTTATACGGCCACATTGAAATGTGGTCGTATATTGTTGTCGCCCCCGTCCGTCGGTCCAGCGTCCACAATTGCTTGTGGACGCTCTAGAGGCTAAAGTTAATATCCGATTGACTTTAAATTTATATACAATGTTTAAGGCCATGAGATGAAAAAACCTATTGATTTTCAGCAATTTCCAATAATTACTGCCAGAGTTATGGCCCTTGATCACTTCAAAAAAATCTTGTGGACGCTCTAGAGGCTAAAGTTAATATCCGATTGACTTTATATTTATACACAGTGTTTAAGGACATGAGATGAAGAAGTCTATTGATTTTCAGTGATTTTCGATAATTACTGCCAGAGTTATGGACCTTGATCACTTCAAAATATCTTGTGACGCTCTAGAGGCTAAAGGTAATATCCGATTGACTTTAAATTTATACACAGTGTTTAAGGTCATGAGACGAAGAAGTCTATCGATTTTCAGCAATTTCCGATAATTACTGCCAGAGTTATGGCCCTTGATCACTTTGAAAAATCTTGTGGACGATCTATAGGCTAAAGTTAATATCCGATTGACTTTAAATTTATACACAGTGTTTAAGGTCACGAGACGAAGAAGCCTATTGATTTTCAGCGGTTTCCATTAATTAATACCAGAGTTATGGCCCCTGATCACTTAAAAAAAAATCTTGTGGATGCTCTAGAGGCCAAAGTTAATATCTGATTGACTTTAAATTTATACTTTAAATTGATACACAGTGTTTAAGGTCATGGAAGGAAGAAGTCTTTTCATTTTCAGTGATTTTCGATAATTACTGCCAGAGTTGTGGCCCTTGATCTCTTCAAAGAATCTTGTGAACTCTCTAGAGGCTAAAGTTAATATCCGATTGACTTTAAATTTGTACACAGTGTTTGAGGTCATGAGACGAAGAATCCTATTGATTTTCAACGATAATTACTGCCAAAGTTATGGCCCTTGATCACTTTGAAAAATCTTGTGACACTCTACAGGCTAAAGTTATCATCTGATTGACTTCAAATTGATACACACAGTTTAAGATCTTGAGACGAACAAGTGAATTGATTTTCAATGAATTTTTATGACTTGAACAGCTAAATCCATGAGATTAAAAGTTTTGTATATACTAAACATTAGCATGGGGCAGAACTTTATAAAAACAAAACAAATTCTAATAGTTTTTTGATAATTACTTCATGAGTTGTTACTCTTAATCAGATTTTAGTGTATTATAAATGTTTTATTACCGAAAAAAGTAAAAATATGTGTCAACACTTGTTGACTCCCCGGACGATTTAGCTGCTGTGGGCGTATGTTTTGTTGCCTGGCAACCTATCTTTATCTAAGAGATCATGGTTCCTTTAAAATATTGGTATGTTTCTAGTTTGTGGACCTTCTACAGACTACCGTGTTTATTTGATTTGTGGACACTCTACAAGTCATAATTTATTATCCGATTTAAAATAGGGCTGGGGTAATGGTAATGGAATGTAATCATTACATTTTTTAAGTAATGGCCATGTAATGAGTAATGGAAGATTTCAAAAGTAATGGAAATGTAATTAATTACATTCCAAAAATCATGTAATGTTCTATTACATTTCAATTACTTTTCAATTACATTTTATGGCACATATAAATATTTCCAATATGACAAGCCTCAAATTTTAAAGCATCAAAGAAATAATTAAGTGTATCTGACACAAATTCAATTCATTATAATTTAAAAAAAAAAAATTTAATCAGATTTGACAAATTATAAGAAGAATAAGAACGCATTAAAGATACATTATGGGAGATTCGATAACGAGTTGGCAGTTCTCACTATAATAGTTAAAAACTAGATAACGTAAAGGCAATTTGCTGAAAATTTCATTCAAATTGATCCACTATGAACCGAAAACTAAGCAAATGAAATTTCTGTTTAGCCTCGGTCATCATTACTAAAGTCAGTACAATAAACAGCATAGTCTCGATTATCTATTTAATCGTTTAACTGAGAAGGAAAGTTATGCAGTAAATCGGCTCACAATCCACTTAAGATCGCAGGCTAGCGATGCCATCTAGAGTTGATTATGGTCTGGATAAGTTAATTAATATCTAATTAATAATTTAGATAACATTTCAGACATAGGCGTACGGGCTCGATGACAGTTAGGAGGGCAGAACCCGAAATGCCCGAAAAAATTTCGGGTGTACAGACAGCGGCGCCGATATTCCTCGAGAGGCGAAGAAGCAGAGGTCCCCTTGTATTGTAAACCCCCCCCCCCAAATTGTTTGAATATTTGACGGCTACAAACATAATTTCCTGGTATTTCAGCCCGTGAACAAAGCAACTTCAAAGTGGTCTAATATAGCCTAAATAAGATGGCTGACTCTAATTCCAATCAAAAGATCAATCGTTTACAGTCCACGGAGAAAATTTTGAAAATTTAACAGCCGCATACGCGTTTTCCTGCTAATCGAGTCTGTGAATACAGCAACTTCAATTTGGTCCAATATAGCCTACCTGGCTGACCCAAATTCCAAACAACCAATCAATAGTCGCGGGGTATGGGGGGCCTCACCCTTCCGGAGAAAATTTTGAAAATCTAACCACCGCAAATGCGTTTTCTGCTATTCTAGCCCGTGTAAGCAACTCCAAAAGTATTCAATGGTTTTGTAACCAAAATCCCATTCTGAATTCCAACCATCCAATCAGACCGTTGCAGCTGCATTCACAAATAATAATCGATGCTCGAAAAATGTCGCACAAAGTAGAGTGGCTCCAGACAAATTGTTTTAATCCATATTCAACTCAGTACAAATTTGTGGTATTCAATTAAAAGAAAAGTAAAATTAGTGTTTTATTAGGGCTCAATGACAGTTAGGGAAGAAAAACAAGAAATGCCCGAAAAAATTTCAGGATTACAGACAGCGGCGCTGGTTTTCTTCGAGAGGTGAAGAAGCAGAACTGACCTTGTATGGACCCCCCGAAGAAAATTTTGGAATATTTGACGGCCGCAAATGCGTTTTACTGCTATTCCAGCCCGTAAAATTAGTGTTTTATTAGATTTCGGGCACTTTATTTTGCCAAGTAGATGAAATTAAAAAAAAAAATTCACTTTACCCTTCTGCCCGAAAGTTTGGGGGGCACCTGGCTCGTACGCCTATGATTTCAGGCCTAAAGAAAGACCTGTAATAGACAGATTTAGCTCTTGCATAATGTATGTTTAAACATTTTCTTTTATTACTTTTTATGTAGGACCCTTTTTTAAGACACGTAACATAAAAAGAGGATTTCTGAAAAGATGTGTAATCAAAGATTAGTACTAATTTGCAGCCAATCACTCAATCAATCAATCAGTCAGTTAGATTAAAAGACAATAAATAGTCTCACTACTCTTTAATCTTAATTTCTAGGTAACAAGTGACAAACCAAAAAATGACCTTCAAGTATCTCATCATTTTTGGTTACTTAAAACTATGATATAATTTACCAGTTATTATACAATATATTATAGACAAACTATTTGTATTGATTAAAGATACATTATGGGAGATTAGATAAAGAGCTGACAGTTCTCACTATAATAGTTAAAAACTAGATAATGTAAAGGTAATTTGTTGAAAATTTCAGTCAAATTGGTCCACTATGAACCGAGATATCAGCTTTGTAAATTTTCGCCTTGTCTCGTTTAACATTACTAAAGTTAGTACGTTAAATAGCATAGACTCGATTATCCATTGTTTTGATTTGATTATCATTAAGCGTTTGCAGCATATAGGATTCTAATCCAGTCGATATCGAAGGCTAGCCTTGACATCGAGAGTTGATTATGGTCTGGATAAGTTAATTAATGTCTAATTAATAATTTAGATAAGATTTCAGGCCTAAAGAAAGACCTGCGATAGGCAGAATTAGCTCTTGCATAATGCATGTTTAAAATTTTTTAAAAATTACTTAAAAGAAAATACAGTTAATTAACTATACTTTTGATTAATTTTTCAAGTCATACAGTGAAAATGTCAGTTTTTGTCAGCACTGCCCATCACTATAAAATTTGCCTTGATGTGATAGTTGCTAGAAATCACAATTCATAAACAAATATCTATTCAGTGAATCGAGGATTATTTTGAGTTTGATTTTGTAGGCGCTTCATGGCAGAAAAATAAGGTTGTCTTTTTAATTTCTATGAAAAATGTTTTATATTTATATAGTCATAAAGTAATGGGTAATGGTAATTAATTACTTTCAATGTAATGGGTAATGGTAATTAATTACATTGCTAAAAATGAGAAAGTAATTGTAATGATTACATTTAAAAAGTAATGGTAATGTAATTAATTACATTGGCAATGTAATGGCCCCAGCCCCGATTAAAAATAGATCACCGTTACACTTTGATGAAACTTTGTTTATATTACTCTCTGAATTATGGCCCTTGATTGTATGAAAAACTACGTTTTTTACGCCCACATTTTCATGTGGACGTATATTGTCAAAGCCCCTGTCCGTCCGGACGTCCGTCCACAATTGTTTGTGGACACTCTTCAGATCACAATTCTTATCTGATTTCAACGAAACTTGAAATATAGGTTTATCTCCCTAGGATCTTGGTTCCTTTCAATATTGGCATGTATCGGACTGTAACTTCATGGATTATGGCCCCTGATTGTACGAAAAATCGCGTTTTTAGCCTGTGGACCCTATAGAGGTCATGGTTTTTATCCGATTTAAAAAAAAAACCGTTACACCCTATAACGATGGTTGAGTTCAAATTTCGTAAAAATCGGACCAAAACTGACAGACAAAATGGCCGCCCCTCGTACTCAAGTAGCGTAAAAATAGGATATATCAAGGTTTTGGACTCTCTAGAGGCCACAATTTTCTTCTGGTTTTGATGAAACTTAACATGTAAGTTTGTAACCCAAAGATCTCGGTTCCTTTCAATATTCCCACATATCGGATCGTAACTTCCTGAATTATGGTCCCTGACTGTACGGAAAATCACGTTTTTAGCTTGTGTACCCTATGTAATGACGTGCCGCCATCGGACGAAATGAGTGTGGACGTTTTAACTAAAACTAGATGTGGGCGAACTGTCCGTAGGCCGCTTAGGTTCGACCAATAATATAGCGGCATGCTTGACTTTTCTAGCCAATCACTGTTCATTTCCTTCTCCCTCCATTTTTTGTAAAACCATGCTTGTTTTGCTGTGTTTATTTTATTGTCCCCCGCCTTTCGAAGAAAGCAGGGGACTATTAAAATGGGTTCGTCCGTCTGTCTGTCTGTCTGTCTGTCTGTCTGTCCGTCGGTCTGTCCGTCTGTCTGTCCGTCACACTTTTTGGGACACAATAACTCTCTTCCTAATTGAGCTAGAATGTTCAAATTTGGTGTATGTGTTTATTAGGTCAATGCCTTGATGGAGTTCGAAGATGAGCATTTTCCGCTTAGGGTAAGCAGAGATAAGCAATTTGATTGGTTGATGCTTTGGGACACGATAACTCTCTTCCTAATTGGGCTAGAATGTTCGAACTTGGTGTATGTGTTGATTAGGTCAATGCCTTGATGGAGTTCGAAGATGAGCATTTTCCGCTTAGGGTAAGCAGAGATAAGCAATTTGATTGGTTGATGCTTTGGGACACGATAACTTTTAATTGAGTTAGAATGTTCAAACTTGGTGTATGTGTTTATTAGGTCAATGCCTTGATGGAGTTCGAAGATGAGCATTTTCCGCTTAGGGTAAGCAGAGATAAGCAATTTGATTGGTTGATACTTTGGGGCACGATAACTCTCTTCCTAATTGAGCTAGAATGTTCAAACTTGGTGTATGTGTTGATTAGGTCAATGCCTTGTTTCATACCCTGTTAGGGTAAGCAAAGATAAACAATTTGATTGGTTGATGCTTTGGGACACGATAACTTTAGTTCCAATTAAGTGAGAGTGATGAAACTTGGTGTATAGTTTCATTACATCAATACCTTGACTAAGTTCGATGATGAGCATTTTCTGCTCAGGGTAAGCAGAGCGATAAGCAATTTGATTGGCCGAGACTTTGGAAAACAATAACCCTCCTTCTAATTGAGCTAGAATGTTCAAACTTGGTGTAGGGGTTTATGAGGTCAATGCCTTGATGGAGTGCGAAGATCAGCATTTTCTGCTTAGGGTAAGCAGAGATAAGCAATTTGATTTGTTGATGCTTTGGAACACGAAAACTTTAGTTCTAATTAAGTGAGAGTGATGAAACTTGGTGTATAGTTTCATTACATCAATACCTTGACTAAGTTCGATGATGAGAATTTTCTGCTTAGGCTAACGAGCAATAAGCATTTTGATTGGTCAAACTCTTCTTCTAATTGAGGTAGAATGTTTAAACTTGATGTAGATGTTCGTCTTGACTGAGTTCAACAACTCTTCTTCTAATTGAGGTAGGATGTTTAAACTTGATGTAGATGTTCGTCTTGACTGAGTTCAATGATTAACATATCGAGCTAAAGCTAAGCAGAGATAAGCAATTTCCTGCTTTGGGACAAGATAACTTTGATTCTATCTAATAGAGAGTGATGAAACTTAGTGTATAGTTCTTAATCAGTTTGATTGCTTGATACTTTGGAAAAAAATAGATGTGCGATTAATTAATATGTGTCATCTATTTATTTGGGGATTTCGGCGGGGGACATCAGCCTCACTGTTGGCTTGTTAGTATTGGCAATTTTGACCATAATTTCACTGTGGTGAATTCTTTTAATCTTTAGGCATCATATGGTAAGAGTATTGTACTTTATTATGCATATTGTGATGTTAATTAGTGATTGTTTTCACGATTATGTACAATTTAGATTGTAAATTACTGCAGTAATAGTTTTGTTTAGAGCAACGATACCATTCTTCACGTCATTTGAAAATGTCCATTATTATTCATTTCAGATTGAAACCACTTTTGTCTTACACCAACACCACCATTTATCTTGTTGACTACTTACCTGTACCTACCTGTCGATACGAATCTTCATAATTAACCGCATGTTGTGCATTCTACTCACCTTCGTTGTCGTCGTTGAACGTTGTTATCGTCGTCATCGTCGTTTGCCAGTAGAACTTTATTAAGATTTGTGACATTTTATTATACAAGTAGTCATTATTAACGTTGAATTGTGAGAGTATTGTTACAGTCTTTGTAGCTGTTGATTAATAATAATTAAATTTGCCATTACAGTTTAAAACATTTGTTTGTGGATTTGTGAATTCATCCGAGTCTGCTCTTAAGAACCTGGTCAATTCTTGGTCGCAGATTTATTTTAATCATATGTCATTTGTGTTATCAGTCACAGTGTGCTGTGAATTGTAAATCATCAGTAGTATGGAACAACAAGTCTGTGGAGCAATGGAACAGAATCTTGCTGAACGGACTGCAGATTCAATATTGAAAAAGTACTCTGAAGAGCAAATTATTCAAGAACTTTGTGATTTGAACTTGAACGTAGTGTCATCCTCTAGAGCCAATTACAATACGTTACGCCAATACCTATTTGATATTATCCTAAAGCACCCTGACCCTGATCAGGAACTAAGGAGAATAAAGGCAAGGATTTTGAGTGAAAAGGCCAGGGCAACATCTGAGGCAGACAGACAGTCTTTAGACCCCCAGGACCCACCCCTTCGACAGGCCACTCCTCCTGCCAATATAGAGGAAGAAGAGCCAGGCGAAGAACAGCTTGAGGAAGATCATCAATTAAAATTAAATCCAGATTTATCTCCGGAATTTAAGCAAATGATATCCTGCATAGAGCAACTGAGGGAAGAACAAAGTAGACAAAGAGAAGACATGGTGGAACTACTGAAAACGTTGTCAGCGCAACAAAGTAGATCTCATCCAAGTTCTCCATCTTCATCCAGACATGAGTCTGACATTTCTATGGACCCTCAAGTCATAGATAGGCGGTACGAACAGTATGTTAGCAACGCCCATGCAGCTTTAAAGCGCCTTGAAAAGGAGCTGCAGGAAGATTCTATAGAATCAAATCTAGACTTGGCAGATGAAAAGGCCCAAGTTAACGTTGGAAAGCTGATTACATTTGTCGAACAGTGTATCTTTCCACAAGATTACTCCATGAAGAGAGAGCGGCAGTTACAACAAACTAGCATATTGGAGAAGGACTTCGACGAAGCTCATCGCCAAGCAAAATTAAGGATTCGTTCCTTACAGAAGAAAGAAGAACAAAGAAAACGTCAATCCTTTTTATCATCGTCGATCAAGGTTCCCTCCTATTATGGTGATGTACTAGACTTTGCTTCGTGGATATCTGAATTTGATCAACTGGTACATTTTAACGCAGATGTGCACGACCAAGGCAAGTTGAAAGCCCTTAAAGAGTCATTGAAAGGAACTGCGGCGTCCACATTGACAAACTTCGACATTATTGGTAAAAACTATACAACTGCCTACAATCTTGTACGGAAACGTTTTGGGAAACCTCGGCTACTTATTCACCATGAAGTAGAGTCAATAGTCAAAATACCAGAACTAAAGGACGACGCCACATCATATCGCAAATGTCTTGAACAAATGGAGACCAGATCCACGAACCTATCAACCCTAAAAGCAGACATGGAGACAGTGTTGGTTGGACTGGTGGTCCCCAAATTCACCAGGACATTAAGGATGTCATGGGAAAGACATTTAAAATCGCATGTAAATGATGACGCCTGTGCTTCCATGAGAGATCTGCTTGATTTCCTACAGGTTGAAACAGAACTACTTGAAGCATCTTCTAACATTGACAAATTGCCTTTCAAGCAGATCAATGAAAAAGCACAAAGAAGACAGAACAGCAAGCGACACATGGGATCTGCCCAATCTCTTGCCATCACGTCTAAAAAGAAAGTCAGCTCCCCGAACACATTGCCTCTATCGGGATGTTCTTTCTGTGCAAAGGCCCATGCTCTGGACACTTGTAGCCAGTTTTCTTCGTTGGACCAAAAAGATAGACTAATTCACGTGTTCACAGCCCGTATATGCCGTTCCTGTCTAGAACCATTTGGGGGACCTAAACACAGTTGTGGAAAAACTTGTCCAATCTGTTCGCAACGACACCATGAATTATTACATGATGGGTACCTGTCTACTCCAAGCAGAGGTCTTCCTGCCAAACAACCAACGCCAAGAGCAAATGTCACATCACCAAATCAAGTATCCTTACCTTCAGTTTTAGTGGCAAGACCTACATCTCCAGATGATGCTTGTGCGGCTCTCCCTGTTCTACAAGCTAAGATTACCTACAAAGAAAAAACGTGTATCGTTAATATTGGTATGGATAGTTTTTCAGAAAAGAGTTTTATCACTAAGGATATAGTGGATACATTACATCTTCCGGTTTCTAAAATGTCTCCATTAGTGGTGGCAGGATTTGGTGGTTTGAAGACTGAACTTCACGAGGCAACCACATTTGATCTTACTCCATTGCAAGAACTTCAATCTTCTTCCTTCAAGACAACTATTCATATTGACGCTATCATACGAGATGGTGATATCTGTGATCCTGTTACTCCTGTACATCTCCATCCCAATTTGGCAACTGTTTGTGAACAGTATCCCTTAGCACGTGCACCTCTAGACCAGTCTGTACGTATTCATGTGCTACTTGGAGCATGTCATGTTGTCTCCAGTATGAGGGTTGTGGCCCACTTAGACAAGGATGGCCCTTGCATTTTGTCAACACCCTTTGGCTATACCATTGGTGGTTCATACAGAAATACATCTTCACTGAAAACAAATCAAGTAAATTCCTGTTTAATATTAACGCCCAAGATTCGAATCCTGGATACAGAAGATGCTGGGAAGGATCCTACTAGTTTTGCCAAGAAAGAAGGCAATATACACCTAGAAGAGGACACCATTAATTTGGATAAACAGTTAGAGAGACATATGACTCTGGAATCTTGGGGACTAGGAACTCAGGAATGTACCACCTCAAATGAAGATGAGATGGCTATTCAGAAATTCAAGGAAAGCGTGTTTTTTGATCATTGCAGTGGACACTATGAAGTGGCCTTACCTTTTAGAGAAGAATCATTACCTCTGAAAGATAACATGGATGTAGTCCTGAAAATAATGTTGAGGACTGAACGTCAATTGTTGAGATCTCCAGAAAAAATGAAAATGTACAATGAGGCTATGGATGACTATGTCAAGAGAGGCTTTGCTAAGGAGTTATCAGAAGATGAAGTTAAATGGGCTCTTAACCAGGAACACATGTTCTTGCCTCATCACCCTGTTATAAAGGACTCTGTTTCCACAGCACTTCGTGTTGTTTTCAACGCTTCACATAAAGCAAGCCCTGAAGACTCATCTCTAAATGAAGCTCTATTACCTGGCCCAAAGCTCCAGCCAGATCTATGTCAGATCCTTCTTCGATTCAGAATAAACCGCTTTGCTGTGGCAGGCGACGTTACCAAGATGTTTTGCATGACCAATCTGGCCCCAGCTCATTGGAGGTATCAGCTTTATCTTTGGAGAGGAGGCGATACAACAATTTCACCAAAGATATATGCAATGGTTACTTTAATGTTTGGAGTAACCTCTTCACCTTATCTTGCTATACAAACAATGAGACATCATCTAGATAAGTATTCTCAGAGTTATTCGGATGAAGTGAATGAGATCAGAGAAAATATGTACGTAGATGATTTTCTCTTTGGTGGTTCTGATGAGGATCAAGTACAGGAACTCTGCCATAATTCTATCAAGATCCTGTCGGAAGGTGGATGGCAATTACGGAAGTTCTCATCCAATTCTCAACATGTCTTAGAATCCCTCTCACCAGAGCAGCGAATGACCAATTCTCTGATTAGTTTTGACGATGAAGAGAAACTAGAGGCTGGAATCTCCACAACTTTAGGATTGGTATGGGACACTAGAAGGGACACCTTTGGAATCAAAGTGATGGAATCCTTACTGAAGCCAGCCAAAAAGGTCACCAAGCGAGTAATTGTCAGTCGCTTTTCTTCAATATTTGATGTTTTCGGTTTCGTTGGACCTTTCACCCTTCAGATGAAGATCATTGTCCAAAAACTATGGAAACAAAAATACGATTGGGACGAACCAGTTCCTAAAGGAATTGAGTCTGAATATAGAATATGGGAAAGCGAACTTCACAAGTTGAATGAGATTTGGATACCAAGATGGACATACCTCGATCCTGCTGTCCTTGAAAGCCAGCTGTGTGGGTTTGCTGACGCTTCTTCGTATGCCCTTGGCGGGGTAATATTTTTGCGTGTTGTTGACACCACAGGAGGAATCCGTATTACGTTCCTAATGGCGAAGAGCAAGGTTGCACCTGTAAAAGCTGTTACAATTGCCAGATTGGAATTAGTGGCAGCCCTCCTACTTTCTAAGATGATCACCTTTATCAAGGAAGCTTTCACTACTGTAAATCCTGACGTTCATTTGTGGACAGACAGCTCCATAGTAATATCTTGGCTTTCAAGACCCAGTTACGACTGGAAGACGTACGTTCGCAATAGAGTCCAGAAAATTCAAGAGCTGACCAGTGGGTGTGAATGGCATCATATTCCTGGAATTGAAAATCCAGCAGATATCCATTCGAGAGGTTCGAATCTTTCGGCTTTAATGGAAAATGACCTTTACTGGAAGGGCCCTTATTGGTTACAACTTCCTATCTCATCATGGCAGTCCAGTACTCCAACCGATCCAGAAGAAGAGGAATTAGCACGGGAAAAAGCTAGTACAACTTCTACATCTCTTCTAGTTGAGATCACCCACTCCACTATATTGGATAAGTCCAATGATTATCACCGCTGTCTTAGGCTTGCGGGATTTATTCGGAGATGGTTAAATACTATTAAGCAGCGCAAGAGTTCGAGAATAGATTCCACCATCCAACATCAAGACACCACTGTGCCAAGTAATAGAGATCTTTTGTCTGAAGAACTTGAGCCTTTGTCGTCTCAGGAACTAAAAGAGTCAGAGGATGGGTTGCTACGTTACACCCAATGGATGCATTTTCCTCTAGAGTATGAAGCTCTAATGAATGGAGGAAAGCTACCCAAGGAAAGTCGTTTAACCAAGTTCAAACCCGTGTGGGATAAAAACCGACGTCTTATTGTTGCCCAAGGACGACTAACATTTTCAAACCTTCATCCTGAAGCAAAACAACCTGTGATACTTCCTTCAAAGGACAAATTGGTGGAATTACTTATTCTTCATGTACATCAAAGTAGATCCCACGCACCTCAAGATCATACAGTCAACTTGTTACGTAATAGATATGCTATACTGCATTGTAGACAATCTGTTCGAAGCGTACTTAGACATTGTGTGCAATGTCGACATTATAATGCCCCTCCTGTCTCACAACAAATGGGATCTCTACCAGAGTGTCGCACTGGCTCAATTATCGCCCCTTTTGACACATTAGGAGTCGATTATACTGGCGCAATAACTGTTAAAGCACCAGGCGGGAAGACTATTAAAGCCTACATTTTGATTGGAACATGTGCCCAGACTAGGATGTGTCATCTCGAACTCACAACTGGCATGAGCACAGAGGCTACCCTTGGGGGATTAAGACATATAATTAATCGTCGTGGTATGCCAAGAAGAATCATCTCCGATAATGCTAAGTACTTCATAAAGTGCTCTCAAGTTGTCAAGTCCGAGCTGCAACATTACGCAACATCTCATGGTATTAACTGGGAATTCATCGTTGATCGAGCTCCACACAGAGGTGCCTTCTGGGAAAGGTTAATCCGGTCCATGAAAGAACCCTTGCGTAAGATAATTGGTAATTCAATGCTAACCTGGGAAGAAATGTTGACCATTTTATCAGATGTGGAACGACACTTAAACTCAAGACCACTTACCTACACTGGATCTGATGTCAACAACCCTCGTTCCATCACACCAGCTCACCTTGCTTTCGGAAGGTCCTTGGAGCAGCTTCAAGAGGCTCCCGCAGAGTTAAAATCTTTGAATGACAGGTATCGTCTTCAAAGAGATGTTTTACAACAGTTTTGGGAACGTTGGGAGTCGGAGTATCTTCCTAACTTACTGCCTTTACAGAAATGGTATACAGAGAATGAGCCCCTTCAAGAAAATGATGTTGTCCTAATCACAGAGGACAATACCCGCAGACCACAGTGGAGAATGGCAAGAGTCATCGAAGGAATTCCTAGTCGCGATGGTATAGTGAGGACTTATCGTCTGCAGACCTCCACAAGTGAACTGAAGAGACCTGCTCAGCGGCTTCGGTTACTAGAGAAACACAGCCCAATTCCATTGATGGAGGCTGAGGATAAAAACTGTGCGCGTGACATTTCAAGTGCTGATGTTGTAGATCTCCAGAGAGATCTAAGTGGGGAGTGTAATGACGTGCCGCCATCGGACGAAATGAGTGTGGACGTTTTAACTAAAACTAGATGTGGGCGAACTGTCCGTAGGCCGCTTAGGTTCGACCAATAATATAGCGGCATGCTTGACTTTTCTAGCCAATCACTGTTCATTTCCTTCTCCCTCCATTTTTTGTAAAACCATGCTTGTTTTGCTGTGTTTATTTTATTAGTATTGGCAATTTTGACCATAATTTCACTGTGGTGAATTCTTTTAATCTTTAGGCATCATATGGTAAGAGTATTGTACTTTATTATGCATATTGTGATGTTAATTAGTGATTGTTTTCACGATTATGTACAATTTAGATTGTAAATTACTGCAGTAATAGTTTTGTTTAGAGCAACGATACCATTCTTCACGTCATTTGAAAATGTCCATTATTATTCATTTCAGATTGAAACCACTTTTGTCTTACACCAACACCACCATTTATCTTGTTGACTACTTACCTGTACCTACCTGTCGATACGAATCTTCATAATTAACCGCATGTTGTGCATTCTACTCACCTTCGTTGTCGTCGTTGAACGTTGTTATCGTCGTCATCGTCGTTTGCCAGTAGAACTTTATTAAGATTTGTGACATTTTATTATACAAGTAGTCATTATTAACGTTGAATTGTGAGAGTATTGTTACAGTCTTTGTAGCTGTTGATTAATAATAATTAAATTTGCCATTACAGTTTAAAACATTTGTTTGTGGATTTGTGAATTCATCCGAGTCTGCTCTTAAGAACCTGGTCAATTCTTGGTCGCAGATTTACCCTATAGAGGTTATATATCACCGTTACACCCTAAGGATGGTTGATTTCGAATTTCGTAAAAATCAGACCAAAACTGACAGACAAAATTTGCCGCCCCTTGTACTCAAATAGCGTAAAAAATATGGTATATGAATGTTCTGAACCCTCTAGAGGTCACAATTTTCTTCTGATTTTGATGAAACTTGAAATGTAAATTTATAACTCAAAGATCTTGGTTCCTTTCGATATTCGCGCATATCGGATCGTAACTTCCTGAATCCTGCATTCAATATTGGCATGTGTCGGATCAAAACGTTCAAATATATCACCGTTACACTAACTGTAATTTTGCCTGAGTTTGAATTTCGTGAAAATTGGACTATTTTCATACGCCCACATTTTCATGTGGACGTATATTGTCGTCGCCCCTGTATATTGGCATGTATCGGATCGAAACTTCATGGATTATGCCCCCTGTTTGTACGAAAAATCACTTTTTTAGCTTGTGGACCCTATAGAGGTCACAATTTTTATCCGATTTTGTTGAAACTTGAAATGTAAGTTTATAACCCAAAGATCTTGGTTCCTTTCGATATTCGCGCATATCGGACCGTAACTTCCTGAATCCTGCATTCAATATTGGCATGTGTCGGATCGAAACTTCATGGATTATGGCCCCTGTTTGTACGAAAAATCACGTTTTTAGCTTGTGGACCCTATAGAGGTCACAATTTTTATCCGATTTTGTTGAAACTTGAAATGTAAGTTTATAACCAAAAGATCTTGGTTCCTTTCGATATTTGCGTATATCGGACCGTAATTTCCTGAATTATGGCCCCTGATTGTACGAAAAATCGCATTTTTAGCTTGTTAACCCTATAGAGGTCATAATTTTTATCTGATTTAAAAAACTGTATTATTATATCACCGTTACACCCTAAGCACGGCTGAGTTCGAATTTCGTGGAAATCGGCCCAAAACTGACAGACAAAATGGCCACCCCTCGTTCTCAAATAGCGTAAAAATATTGTATATCAAGGTTGTGGACCCAATAGAGATCGCCATTTTTACCCGATTTTGTTGAAACTTGAAATATAAGTTTATAACCCAAAGATCTCGATTCCTTTCGATATTTTTGCGCATATCGAATTGTAATTTCATGAATTATGGCCCTTGATTGTAGGAAAAATCACTTTCTTTTTAGCTTGTTCTCTATCCATCTCTCGAAAATGTGATCCGATTTTGATGAAACTTGAAATACATGTTTATAACCCAAAGATATTGATTTAAAAAAACATTCGAATATATCACCGTTACACTGTAATTCTAATTGAGTTCGGATTTTAAAAACCGTTTAAATATATTAGCATTCCACCATAATGAATGTTGAATTTAAATTTCGGGAAAATCAAAATGAAACTGCCCGACAAAATGTCCGCTCTTTGTATGCAAATTGTGTAAAAGTATGCAATACAAAGGTTGTGGACCCTGTAGAGGTCACAATTTTTATCCGATTTTGAAGAAACTCAAAATATATCTTTATATCCCAAAGATCTCAGTCCCTTTTGATATTTGGGCATTTCAGACCATAACTTTCTGGATTATTGCCCCCTGATTGTTCAAAAAATCCCGTTTGTTTTTAGCTTGTTCTCTACCCATCTCTTGCAAAATGTGGGCGTATCCTGCCTGGCAGCCGCTGGTTTAGCTTTGGTTCCTCTAGAGGTCACAATTTTTATCAGATTTAAAAAACTATTTGAATTGACAGTTGAGTTCGAATTTCGTTAAAGTCTGACCAAAGCTGCCTGACAAATGGCCACTCCTTGTACACAAATAGTGTAAAAGTATGTAATACCAATGTAGGCACTCTAGAAATCACAATTTTTATCCGATATTGATGAAACTTAAAATATGTTTATATCCCGAAGATCTAGGTTCCTTTAGATTTTCGGGCATATCGTACCATAACTTCCTGGATTGTGGTGTAACCTCTAGGGGTCACATTTTTTTTATTCCGTTTTAAAAACTGTTTAATTATATCACTGTTGTTAGAAAATAATTATGGTCGAGTTTGAATTTCGTAAAAATCGGATCGGAACTTCCCCACAAAATGGACGCTCCTTGTATGCAAATAGTGTAAAAGTATGTAATACCAAGGTTGTGGTCCCTCCAGAAGTTACAATTTTTATCTGATTTTGATGCAACTTAAAATATGTTTATGTCCCGAAGATCTAGGTTCCTGTAGATATTCACGCATATCGGACCGTAACTCCTTGGATTATGGTCCCTGACTGTACGAAAAATACCTTCTTTTTTTTTGAGCTTCTTCTCTGTCCATCTCTTGCAAAGATAGGTTGTCAGGCATCAAAACATACGCCCACAGCAGCTAAATCGTCTGAGGGGTCGATAAGGGTTGTCGCATATTTATTCTTTTGTAGGTAATTAGGGGCATTAAATAGACAATTTCATACAGATGACATTATAATTTTCGTCATTTGAGGGTTCACAAGGTTCTAATAACTAAAAAAGGGCCATAACACTGGAAGTAATCTACAGAAATTGTTGAAATTCGACAGGCTTTTTTGTTTTACTAATTCAAACAATGCATATAAATTCCATACAGATCGGATGGTAACTTTTGTCATTCAAACGTTCACAAGGTTCAACAAAGTAAAACATGGGCCATAACTCTAGAAGTAATTGACAGAAATGGCGGATATTCAATAGGCTTCTTCATTTCACTAATTTAAATGATGCATATGAATTTCATACAGATTGGGTGATAACTTTTGTCGTTCGAGCGTTCACAAGATTCAACAAAGTGAAACAAGGGCCATACCTCTAGATGTAATTAACGGAAATTTGCTGAAACTCAATAGGCTTGTTCGTTTTACTAATTTAAACCATACATATAAATTTCATACAGATCAGATAATAACTTTTGTCGTCAGAGCATTCACAAGGTATGAAAAAGTGAAACAAGGGCCATAACTCACAGCGTAATTATTGGAAATTGCTGAAATTCAATAGGTTTCTTCGTTTCACTAATTCAAATGATGCATATAAATTTTAAACAGATCGGATGATAACTGTTGTCATTAGAGTGTTCACAAGATTGAACAACGTGAAACAAGGGCAATAACTCTAGATGTAATTAACGGAAATTGCTGAAATTCAATAGGATTCTTTGTTTTACTAATTTAAATGATGCATATAAATTTCATACAGATCGGTTGATAACTTTTGTCGTTACAGCGTTCACAAGGGCCATAACTCTAGATGTAATCAACACAAATTGCTGAAATTCAATAGGATTCCTTGTTTTACTAATTTAAATGATGCATATAAGTTTCATACAGATCGGTTGATAACTTTTGTTGTTAGAGTGTTACCAAGGTGCAACAAAGTGAAACAAGGGCCATAACTCAAGAAGAAATTAACGGAAGTTATTGAAATTAAATAGGCTTCTTCATCTCACTAATGCAAACAACATATATCAATTTCAAAACAAACAGATGATAAATGTAGTCTGTAGAGTATTCACAAGAAATTGTGGATGACGGAGGGACGGATGTGGGCGTATAAAAGGGGGGTAACTTGCATGACTAGAAAGCCTCTGCCGAGCCTGAGAGCAGTTAACTTATAAACGTAGAAATCTTGTGACATATAAGCATATTTGGCTGGAGAATGGTTATACAGACCAGTGGATGGGCCTAATTTATGACATGTCATTCAGAGACCACGTTGTCACTGTCGAAATAACTTAGTCTCCAGTCGGAATCAAGGGTCAAATTTGGAGGCACCGAATTTGATTTTAAAAAAAAAACATTTTCCGTCAAAATGCCACATAAACCCTAGATTTGGTGTCCAGATTAAAGATAATGATCAAGAATAATTTTTAACTCTCTGAAATGGGTTGAATACATGGGTTGAATACGAAAATGGACATGATTTAGGAGTTTCGATAATATAACTAATGTCAACTCATTAACTTAAAAATTTTAAGGTGTTAACCAGTTATAGGAAATTTTAACTCGCTCTCAGCCTTGGTCTCTGCCGTATGCAAGCCAAAATGGCCATCACCAGACGAGGAGATATGAAATAGTCGGAAATGGTATCTACAGTATTCCGACATCACAAATTGTCACTTCTACAACGATTTAATACGGAGATCTGAAATTTCTGGACAACCCCCTGCTGAAAAACCTGGATCTGCCTCTTTCCCCCATAGCTCCCTTCTCACTCATGACTGTGTTACTACTTCGTGGGGGACATTCAGAAGAGATTTTGAATAATTGTAAACTATAAAGCAATCGTGGTCTGGACACGCATTGACAAAGCTGAATACTGTCCAGGTGCATTGTTCAGCTAGTCGTAAAAGGGAGTCCATTTTGAAATTCAATGTTATGCATTCACATTTTAAGGAGTTTTTCATGTTTCTGACACCCACATTTTTAATAGTCCCTTTCCGGTTCACCACTTTTACACACCACTATCTGTATATCCACCTGTCTACGATATCACCCTTAGTGGTAGTCGATGTAAAAATCCAGGAACGAACGTATATCCACCCATACTTCAGACCTCTGTCTAGTAGTATGGACTACAAGTCAAGTGCATTGATTTTTCAGCTCATTATTTGGGGGGATGCCCCGTGGCATGTCAAGTTGTTTGGATGTGATTGAAAACCAAGGTCTGTAGTCAGCATAAGAACCCCTTTGCAGATGAAAATTAAAGTAGAGGGGAAATGCCCTTGTCGAATTGCACACATTGTATCACAAGGTCAAGTAATTTACATTTACGGCAACATTTGACTAATACAGAGGCTAAACTGAATGTTAATGACAAAATAAAACTATAGCTGTTATAAATAAATTAAGCAAGCTATAAGACTACTACCTAGAATAATACAAGCTCTAAATGGATATATAATCACTGATCTTTTTGTGA